CAAATGAGAGCCAGTTTATCGTAGATCAACATTGACCAGAAAATTTGGTGCATATAATTTAATTCTCCCTGCCACGTCGGTATAACTAGTGGTGGGTGCTTTGCCATTTTGTGTACAATGTGTAAAATAAGCCCTTGAATGGACGAGGAGGGCAGTGAATTGCTTCCGCAGGGCTTTTGGACGACGTCAGGCCGTCTTGCCATTACTAAAGACAACAATGAAGAACAGTAGGTCACGGAATACACTCTGTGAGAACGAAAACATGGCTGCGATGCTATGCTACCTATCCAATTCTACCGTATTACACAGCCACTAGTTACAAATACAAAAACACGGCTTTGCGGCAGCATACAATGCAGTTGACAGATTAATTTTCATCCACAAGCATTCCTCGAAGTGAAATCTATCAGCTTCAGAACATTGATGACCGAATATCCAAGTTTGTGATGCCATTTTACAAATTTGTTAAAAAATGACACACCAATTATTTGAACCCTGAGAATACTATGAAAGTAGGACATGATTCAAGACACTTTCCAAAGTGGGATCATTCCCATTTTTTGAGACAACGGGCATGAAGGATAGCACTTCCACTTGCAACAATTCATTTGGACGTAGCTTGCCTAGAAGTGGCTGAAAAAACGTGATTTTACAACCATGTTAAAAAAGCCTAATCACCTCGTACGTGATCGTACTGTCCGGCCAGGATTCCGCGCTATTGGCTTTATTATTATTAAATTTTTGATAGGGTTTTTCATTCGCGTTATCCATGGGAATGTACCAAAAAACAGTACATGATGTTGAAAATGTACTACAATGTTGTATACGCCCATGAGTTTGTACGGCAAAGTTATACACGTGCATGAAACTGTATGCTAAAATTTGTACCAACGATAGACAACTCTTGCAGAATGACCACATAGCGCATTTTTTGCCGTATACTCCAGCATATTTGCCGCGCAATGGCCAGTTTTCGCCCGCATAATTTTATGATTTTGTCCACGTTATTCTGTGGGAACAGATTGTATCCCAGTAGCATAATTTGTCATGTGACCTATCTTGCATTTATCACAAGGGTACATAGTCATCAGTGTACTTATCACATGTGTAAACGTTCTATGCACACTATAATAAATATTGCCATGCAGGCACACTTCTTTGTTCACACATCTGTAAGGTGCGACATTATGCTATTGCATGGCACTGCCTATAGCATCTTCTAGGCGCTGGTCCTTGTTCTTGAACCTTCTTCTAGATTCTTGCATATGGTGCTTGTTTCACTTGTCAGCTTGCTGATAACATTATCGCCTTACTGCTTGCTATATAAGCACACTATGTGGCCATTCTTCTCAGGCACTCGCACATAGTCATTGCTTGCACATTGCGTGCGCCTTGCCCACTGGTACTCTGTACGACATTCACTCAGGACTTCTACTGCCGGTGTATATCCACTGTCACAATGTCATGATTTTCTAGAAAAAATAAATACTGGTTATATACACCACCAAGAGTATCTACCAAAATATTGTTGCAAAGTGCGTTTACCGACCGAATGATGTTGCTGCAAGCATTACCGCTCGAACTCTCTACTTCAGTACTTGTAGTACTACCGGTACTAGTGCGTTGAGGTCCTGTGACTCGTGGCCTTTGAGTTTGACCTCCTCTCAAACAAACATTATGCATAGCCATGAAATAGGAAGATCGTTACTAGTAAAATTTGCAAATCGGCCGGCCGAAAAATTCGCCGAGAACGGGACTTATCAAAAAATCGTTAAGCTTTTCGCCGATTTTGGAGGGTTTCTTTGAGAATCGCCCAAAATCTACCAAATCTTCCAATATCTTACCAAGTTTTAAGCCAATGTGTCGACAATTATTTTAGCCAATTCCAATAGTCCAATTTTGCAGCCGATTTTCGAACAATCAGCTGATTCCATACATGTATACATGTACCGGTACATGTACATGTACAATGTGTAGTACTGTAGTAGGTGTCCCGACAGTTCACAGAAACCCAATTCACAGAACGGCAGTTCACAGAAACCCAATTCACAGAACGACAGTTCACTGAATGACTTTTCACAGACTACCTTTTTGACAGACAGCCCATTTCACAGGATACCCAATTTACCAAAAGACAGTTCACAGAGCACTGCTTTCTTCGACAGCCCATTTCACCGAATTTGATCAGGCATGCACTCAAAAATGCATTGTTTCGAAAGAAAGCAAAATATTATGAATATGAGAGTATGCACGTGTGACATGGTCATTTACTATACACAACATTGAATGCCAAATTATGCGCTACTCCACGGAGGAACTCTCTTGGTGGTCGCTGCTCGACGGACTGTAGCAGAGCCCTCAGTCGTTCCGCCTATTCGACAACATTGAACGCCAGATTATGTGCTACTTCACGGAGGAACTCTCTTGGCAGTGGCTGCTCGACGGACTGTAGCAGAGCCCTCAGCCGTTCATCACATTGCTGATTATCTCTACTTCCGCTTAGGACCAGAGTTTCCTGCCTCAAGCCGCTCAAGCCGCTCTCGTTCCGTGGTACTGTAGACTACTCCATTTTCAAACACTCGATAACCTTCCAAATAGTCGGATGGTGGCAGGTGACTATCGATGCAAACCAACGATGCCATCCTTCTAGGGCGTTGTTTGTGCGGTCCTCTCCCATCAGAGTGCGGTATTGTACGTTCCACAGCTAGCGCAATTGGGAACAGTGGTGTCCGCCGTTGCCCATTTGGGCGGAGCGTTCCAATGTACGAATGCTCGAAGTAGGTGAGGATCGCCTCGGCGTCGTTGGGGAAATTATCCTCCACCGCTTCGAAGTAAGTGGTCACGTCCCCAGTGGGTACGAAAACCAATGCTGGCAGCATTCGCAGGGCCACTGCAAATTGTGAATCCTGTGCGTAGCGCTCTTGGAGTCCGGTTGACTGGACACGACGATAAATGTTCTGGGTGAGATGAAAGAAGCAGCCTGTGCACTTAATTCCGGGGAATTTCAGTCTAAATCATCGCGGCGTTGATGGCACCTAGCTCAAAATCTGTAACTAGAGTGGACGGCTGCAAAGCATCCGTTCTGTCGAGGAGAACTTGTAGTAGTTGCTCGTACATTGCCTCCGTCTTGTTCGGTAGAATCGCGTAGACGACAGGCAATATGCATCCATCCACACGAACGCACAGAGAGTAGAGCTGATAGAACTGCAGGGGAACCGTCTTAAAGGTTCCATCCGCTTACCAGGAATCGTGCGTGGCCAGCAAACTATGATCCAAGTTGTCCTGCGTGGAAAACACCAAGAATCGAGCATTTCCGGAGTGAGCACCACTGCATGTAGCAGGAATGCATCTCCGGAAAGGGTGTGGCGATAATCGTCTGAAATCATCAGCTCTTGGAGGGATCCGGGATTTGGAGGAACATTTCTGCTTTTCACACGCTCTCTCTGAGCCTTCCGCTTCAAGCTTCGGACGCTCGGCGACAGGGTGGCAGTCGCTGCTACTGCAGCTTGGACAATCGTGTGCGTCGATTCTTGTGTTGTCGCCGATCATGTCGCTATTGCTTTGCTCACAGTAGCGGTTGCGACTCTAGTTGCTTCAGGAGCGTAGCTGTGCATGCCCGTCATTGTGCCACTGGTCTTCAACCTGCCTTCGCATCCCAATTCATCTTTACGCTCGCGATCGCACCTCCAGTACACTACGCCACCGGCGCCGCATTTTTCTTTCACGTACCCGTAGCCATCCTGAATGATCTTCTGCTTTCCCCTCGACGTCAGTCCAATGTAGTCAGGCTCCATTGTCGTATTCGTATCCGTATTCTCCAAAATTGACTTTGAATGATCGAATAGTCGTAAATCAAGGGCTTATGTATGAACTGGCGCGTGTGCGTTGTCACCTCTGGCGTGGATATTATTGTTGGTCACGCTGGAACTTATCCGTCCTGCCGAGGATCGAGTCGCATTTTCCCACTTTTGTCCACTCTCGGCGAAATGGGCTGTCTGTGAAAAAGTCAGTCTGTGAACTGGGTTTTCGTTGAATTCTGATCAACGGCAGAGGAAGAGGCTGGACGTCGATGACCACGAATGGCAGCGGCAGCTGCTCGGACGAGGGCAAAGCCCAACCTCACTCGAAGAAAGGCAGTCACCGACGAGAACGACTCTCCTGTCTTCTCCGATACCATGGATGGGCCTGCGGTAGAGAGCCTTCGCTGCTTTGCCTTGCCCGCCAGTGCAACTGAGGACGATTGGGACAAATGACGCATGCTCGATTTGCAAAACTCGTGCTTCGTAGCTGCGACGCTTCTCCTTCTCGTGTCTGGCATAGAGTGACGGACACCAGGGAGGCGGGGTTTTGGTTTGAACGAGCATAGTGTGGTCATGTACACTGAGTGTACGTCATATGCATGTACATGTATATCCCATACGTACGCTAGACTGAAGTGCAAGCCGGGAGCATGTTTGTGATGTGTTCGTGGCTCGGCCAGCTTTGACGGACGTGATTACAGCAAGACCTGGACAAAATCGAAAGTCACGGTTGGCACGGTTTCGATCATCTGACTGCCCTGAGTGGATAATATCAGGTTCTGTTGCGGAAACAATTACGTCATGCTTAGTATGCAGGCTGAAACAGGAAAGGAAAGGATGCCCATCATGATCACTGCATCAGGGCGACAGGGGCCCATGTCTTCCACAGCTATGGAAAGTTTACTTCAACAGTTCAGTGAGTTCAAGCGACCACGAATCGATGGGACTCGAACCCACATTCGACCACAGACAGCCATGTCACCATGGTCACACTCACAGACTTGTGAATTCGTGAAGTAGTTGTGTCTATAAAACATAATGCTACGATCGTACTATAATATGCGCTAGAGCGGCGCGCGCGCCGCCGCGCCGGCGCCGTCTTTTCGTGTGGAAGCGTGACTTCTATTTTGCCCGAAAAAGACGAAAAGAAAATATTTGGCGCGAATGTATGAAGGCAGTCTCGCTTCCAAGAATCCGCACTTGAAAGAAAGAAAGACAAGGATTGTGTTGTGAAACTCTTTCGATAGGGTCTCGAAAACTGGCAAACAACAACCAATTCCTATTTCCAGTTTATTCTACGTGCCATGGAGTTCTCAACCCGCTCCATCCAACACCGCACCGTCGAGAATTTCTGTTTTCTCTGACTTATTTGCACGCCAGGCTTGCACCTTGTGTGCTGTTTGTAGAGATTTCGTTGAGGGAGTTCCTGGTCATTGTTGACGCAGAGCCTGCGCAAGGTCGGTCTGTTGAGATCATCAGCATGGCTAAACGCCAGCCAGTGAAGTGCTCTATCAATGGATTCCAGGTGGATTTCCCCTGCAAACCGTATCCCACTCAGGTGGCCATGATGGACAAGGTACTTACTTACTCACCATACATGTACACCTACACTGAGAATTGGACGATGAACAATTGTGATCGTCTGAGATAAGGTCCCATGATCCAGCTTCTCCACACATGCACGTGGTATTACTAATAGAGAGCGAGCAAAACAATCTCGGAGATGTTTGCGTCATGATATCAGCCACCACGAGGGTAGCTTCTCACGAAAAGTTCCCCTGCTGCAGATATCCGCGAAAATACGCTGCAGTCAATGACCATTTCCTCAGCCTGGAAATGAATACTAGTATGCGAGAAGGCACGAGAAAAGTTCAGTTTGCACCCCAGGCTAGTCCGTATCCGGAACTGTTAGCAAAGGTTACATGCCATTAGAAGTTTCGCAGTTTTTTTTCCTTTTTTCGGAACCTCTATTTGAAGGTAATCGTGATAATGCAGGCGCATAGCACCGCCGTTGGAGGTGGTCCGACCGGAGGGGGGGGGGGGGGGCGGGAGTCTCCCGCGGGAAAAATTGAAATTAGGGTGCAAAATCCTGCATTCTGGGCACTTGGCATTGTGTTAAAAAAAATTGGTCCGGCCAAAGCCGGACCGGCTGCTACGCCCCTGTAAAGTGTAATGGATCATACTATGAAACTGAAAGCAGTGATACACACAAATACATCTGAGAAATAAACAAACGGAGTACACCAAAAATCACGGTTCGTGTGACACTCGGTTAGACCCGAGTTTTCCTCATCCGCAGGAACTCCACCACCCTCACGGGTCAAGTCGCAGGTTACGAACAGCCTTAGGGTTTTATAACAGTGCACGTTGTTGTATAAACACCAGCTGCTTTACTGTACAAGTACAAAGTTTCGTTTGGAATTAACTTTCGCTATATTCGTTAGGGGCCGTCCGGGGTTACCAATAGTTTTGCAAAACAAAAAGTTTTAGTATTTTTCAGCACCCACCCACCTACCTTTTCTGCAGGTAAAGCGAATTCCAATAAAATGTTGATGTCAATTTTCGACACCCAGAAGTAACTGGTCATTCTGCATCTGCATTCAATAATTATTTTCAAAACGAAACTCCTTCAAACCCACCCACCCCCAAACGAAAACTTTTCGTTTTGAAAATACTATTGGTGACCTTGGACGGCCCCTTAGGGGCACGAAATGACTAAAGTTTGTACCAAACTATTTTTTTACATTCGGGGCGACAGACCTCGACCAAGAACGAAATTTAGTACCGTATTTTTCCGGTTGTAAGTCGACCTTTCACGACTTAAAATAGAAGCAGAAAGGGTGGGGGTCGACTTACAACCGGGATTCGACTTATAACCGGGAGCTATCAGTATCTTACAAAAAATGACCTGCACTGCATTCACGGATGCACCATGTTTGCACATTTTTGCCAGTTTATTGGCCTTTTTCAAGGATCGGGACGTTATATCCTCCAATAAGGAATGTTGACATGATTTGTTGATGTGTTAGTACCAGGAGGTGGTTAGTAGTGCTTCTTTGGGTGAAAACTTTAAAACATAGAAATGAGACCTCCAGATAGGGGGGTCGACTTATAACCGGGGTCGACTTACAACCGGTAAAATACGGTACGTATTAACGAACCGGCTGGTGGAGTGATCATCTAACGAAAGATTTCGTAAACGAAAATTTGTACTTGTACAGTACAGAGACGAAGTGAAATGCTGCAGTTCCCTTCGTGAGAAAAATGCAGTAGATGAGAGTGCAGTTCCAGTACTGTGCCTGTACGAACGAGGGAAGATAGGGTGTACTACAACATGCTATTTTCGGTGAAACTTACTTTAATTTCGGTAGAGAAACCAGGCACCTAAATTTAGACGGCACTATAAAAGTAGTCAACGGCACTGTAAAAGTAGTCAACGGCACTATAAAGTAGATTATGCACTGTGTGTGAAGGGAATGCTGGTCACCTAGTTTTACATTACACGTGGAACCTGCCAGGTCCCTTACACCGAAATTTGACTACGCCTAACATTGCACTTTGTACAGTGCTGTTTCGAATCCAGACTTTACTATGCTCTTTTGTTTGGATCAGGCAGGCACGGTGGGTTGGTCAAAGACCATGATTGAGATACGAGAGGTACCTGGTTCAAGTCCTGCCTGGGAGCGGTTTTTCCAGCCGTGCTGCTACCCACAGTCAACTGGGAACTTGTGGCCAGGCACAAGGGGTATATGGATGCAGCTAATGGGGTCCTTTTCGGCACTTGTGCCAGTGGTTGTGAAACTTATCCACTCACCCCCACCGTTAGGCGCTGCATCTGCCGCTAGGGTTTATCGGGTGTTAGCGGCCGTCGTGAGTTCCCTTCGGGAACGGACACGATAATTTACTTTTTTTGTTTTTTTGTTTTGTTTGGATGGCCGTGCTGCAGATCTTGAAGGCCATTGATCGCGAAGAGAATGCCTTGCTTGAGAGCCCGACGGGCAGCGGCAAGAGTCTTGCTCTGCTCTGCTCCACGCTGTCATGGCAACGCAAGGCACGCGGTGAGTCACACACCGTCCGAGCACTGTTGCCATGTCGGACATGTGCAATGACGATCCCATGGCAACAGCATATACATTCGTAATGCAGTGATACAGTCAGACCTCGCTTAACCGCACACATCCGTTTTCCACAAAAAATATATCCGGATAGGCGAGGGAACCCATATTCGAACATACGTACATGTACTGTATGTATGCATGGCCTATGCTGTAAATCTGTAACCAACGGTTTTCTTCCGGATGGCGAGGGATCCGGATAAAAGAGGACCGGATAAGCGAGGTCTGACTGTAACCCAATCAAGTCATCAACGTATATTTCACGAACTGCTTCAGACCCTGAGACGATAGTGTTGACTGTGCATATTATAAGAACCACTGTTGTAAATGGTTTTCTCGGCGAGCCGGCGATCATGAAATAAAATTAAGGGAAAAACAAGCATCAGGCTCTTCAGAACCAACATCCTCAACGCTCTTTCGCTAGTACAGTAAAACCTGTCAAGGCGACCACTCGGATAAGGCGCCCACCTGTCCTAGAAGACCACTGCAACCAGGACCAACCCATGCTATTTCCAGTCAATTGACCCTGGACAAGGCGACCACCTGGCGACAGAGACCACATTTTGAAGGTCCCTTGAGCGGTCGTGTTAGACAGGTTTCACTGTACTTCTCCTCAGGTGGAGTACAGGCAGAAAGAAACTAACCAAGCACTATGAGTTGTAAGCAGCAGTGATGTGATATCAATAGCGCAAGGAAAATTAGCCATGAACAACACAGTAGGATGCATTTTAACCGCATGCAGAAGTAGTTTAGTTTTTTTTTCCCCTGTTTGTTTGTCCCTTAGTTGTCTATCGTTGTCACCGTGTATCGCACTCTTGTGTGGCGTCTTCGCACTTGCACCTGTTTGTCATTCCTCTATGTGTGCATGAGGTTGTGCTTTAATACCGTGCTGTTTTGGGCTACTCTTCTTTGCGCTGTTGTCATCACATCTTTACTGTTTAAAACTCATTGTGTAGTGCTTGGTCAGTTTCTTTTTGCCTGTATTCCACCTGATGAGAAGGCAATGGAAGTAGTAGTGGAACAGCTTCCAGGGTGTTGGTTGTTATGAGCCTGAAGCTTGTTCTCTTCTTGAGTTTTGCTGTAAATGGAAAGTTAATCTCTCTTTGAGATTGCTGGCGCTGATTGGCAGTTAGTTGTAGAACGCCAGTACCGTCTGTCAGTGTCGTGCAATGTTATCGCGTGAGCTGATTGTCAAGTAACTGGTGGTGTTAAAGGGGAAGTTAAGGCAAAAATTAAAATTTCACCAGTTGTAGTCTTCGGGGTGCTGAGTCGAATGGTCTTGGTCCGAGGAAGCTGAGACGCTCCCTTCCTACTTGAATCCCAATCGAACTCGCGCACTTCCACCGAAACTGGGTGACTGCGCCCTACGAGATGGGGATTTGTATGCAAAATGTCACTAAAAGCGCCATTTCGTTCTTATAAAAGCACGGATGACCGCGATTGGCCCATATGTTGTAGTCTTTTGGACGCTGAGTCGACTGGTGTTGGTCCGAAAAGGCTGCGATGCAGCGTTCCGCCTTTATTCCCAATCGAACATGGTTGAACAAACGGTCACGTGCTCCTGCGTACGCCAGTCACCTGGTCACCGTGCCTGCAGGGTACAACTTACTAGCCTGTTTGACCTTTTTTGGGTGCAGTCCTGTCACTCGAGTTGAACTCGAGTTGAACCTTGGTGTGAAAGTTGTCACCTGCTGGCGTGGTGACCAGGTGATTTGGGCACCCAGGAGCACGTGACCACTTGTTCAACCATGTTCGATTGGGAATAAAGGAGGAACGCTGCATCGCAGCCTTTTCGGACCAAAACCAGTCGACTCAGCGTCCAAAAGACTACAACATATGGGCCAATCGCGGTCATCCGTGCTTTTATAAGAACAAAATGGCGCTTTTAGTGACATTTTGCATACAAATCCCCATCTCGTAGGGCGCAGTCACCCAGTTTCGGTGGAAGTGCGCGAGTTCGATTGGGATTCAAGTAGGAAGGGAGCGTCTCAGCTTCCTCGGACCAAGACCATTCGACTCAGCACCCCGAAGACTACAACTGGTGAAATTTTAATTTTTGCCTTAACCCTTTATGTACGGTGTGTACGTGAATCGATCCCATATGATCGATTCATGATCGATCCGTAAAACCTTCGTAACTCCATCATTTCTTGTCCGAATTCAGCAATCGAAGGGTCTATTTGGTAGCGGAAACTCCAATCTTCCCAATGCAACAATCGCCGAAGAGCTACGATGTACGAACCCAGAGATATCGCGCGCCGTATTCTTGTCTCGGCAAATTCAACATTTTCATCGATCTCTTTGCCATTTTAGGGGGAAATCCCTTTTCGTGTGCTCTTTGACCAACCCAGCACATGAATAGTGACGTAGTTGGCTGAAGTTTGAATCGCCTCGAAAAGATTTGAGCATTCTGCGATAGAGGAGAGTGGAATGGCGTTGATGGGGAAATTTGCTCGCATATTGGGCTTGGAGACGACTTTGCTGTGTTTCTGCGCCTGATTTGTGGCAGCTAGTTGATGGAGCCTGGTATCCTGGCGTTGCTTTCGCCAGGAGCTTTCCAAAGAGCCCAAGATGGTGGAAATGGAGCGAAGGAGGCCAAAGCTATACCCCTGTTGAAGGTGAAAATTGTGCTGAAAATTCAAATTCTGCTTCATTCTGTGCTGGAAATCAGTACATAAAGGGTTAACTTCCCCTTTAATAGGCATTATAGCGTAACTTGTAGTTCCATGGTCCTTTTTGTCGCTGTAAATTAATCTCTCTTTCTCTGGTCTTGCTGCTTTCAGAGACGGTGGCGCAGAGGGTCATGGAAGCCAGACAAGAGATGGAGCAGGCCGGTGAGTTATTCTCTTTACATGCTCCGTCCGTCACTTTTCTGTAGGTGACTTCTAGTCCTTCGTGTAGTTTGCTCTGTTACTCGATTTGTGCATCTTGTTGATTGATGGGCTAGGAAATTTGGTTCGCTGTGTCACCAATAGCTGTAGGGATTGGAAATGATGACCTCAAGTAAGACTGGATGGTAATAGTTTCACATAAGAATGACACTATTGGATCAACTCTTTAGTAGCCTTTGTATATTAGGGTGTATGACTAGCCCGTCAAATCGCATGCTGACTAGCCCCTCATTTCGCATCCTGACCATCCCCGCGAATCTAATGCTGACCAGCCCCTCATATCGCATACTGGGGTAATCTTCTTGACCAGCAATGCACGCAACCCCCAGGGACTAGTGCAGTCACTAGCAGCGGATGTGTCACCCTACTGCGAGGGAGATCACTTCACACGTAACACGTACAAAGGTCCATACGCAACTGGATCCAAGTCTCGGTGTTATTATGGCAGTGGTATAGCACGTTCAAGCCCTAGTGACATGCTGGACAATGTCCAACAAGACATTTTTGACATTACTCGGTGCTGTACGAGGCCGCCAGACGAGCAAGAAGGCACAGAGCAGAGAAAACAAACAAACACACGAAGCGCCGACAGCAGAACAAAATTTCCGCTGATCACCAGTTTGTGTGAATGACGGTGTTGACATGACTGCAGTGCGTTGCCCTTCACATTGCCTTCCTGTGTTTGCCGATAGGTGATTGCTATTGTACGTGCCACCGCACCGGGGTACCTGTGCAACCACCGACAAGGACATCGCTGCCGCCAACACCGTCTCTAGCTCTCGGCCCCGGCGGCCATGACGCCGCTCTGTTGCCGACACCGTCTCTAGCTCCCAGCCTCGGTGGCCATGACGCCGCTCTGTTGCCGACGCCGACGGTTGTGCCGGGCGCTACACCCCAGTCTGGCCTTGGTGCTCCAATCGGGCCTCTTCCGGTCGGGAGTTCGGCCATCGACTTGACGGGTGCTTCGTCGCGGGCTGGACCAGTCCAGACATTCGGTCATCCCACGCCAGCTGCCGTGTCGACGGCAATGGCAGCACGTTCTGGCGGTGGGTTTGCAGCAGGTTCGACTCCAATTGTGCTGGGTGGCCTGCCATGCATGTCCGTGCCCGTACCAACCTCCAGTGGCAGTGGCGACAGTACAGGTATGGTGTGTGTGTGTGTGTGTGTGTGTGTCTGTGTGTGTGTGTGTGTGTGTGTGTGTGTGCGTGTGCGTGTGTGTGTGCCTCCTCGTGCATTTGCGCGTGCGAGTGTGGTGGGGGCTTCGATGACACATACCGTAGTGACGAGCATTTATGCGCATGTGCCTATACCCGGGCATAAGCACACCCTCACAAATAAGCGCATGGGCTTATACATGAACCTAATGCAATTCTATCGGCGACACACGGACACCACAAAAATATCATGTTCACATAGTTTAATGTGCAGTGCGGTATCGCACTATGTGCATAATTATACAAGGCACCGGTACACTAGCAACTCAAGCGCATGCGCCTATGTGTGAGACTAAACGACCCGCAAAAATGGCAAGTAACGCAAAAACTCACTCATAAGCGCATGGGCCTTTATCTGCGTCACTGCGGTACGTTTGTGGCTGCTTTATCTTATACTTGTCAATAACCATGGTGTGATTGCATTGCTTGTGTTTGGGAATGGATTTGTATCAGATTGCTTTTAAAATATTTCAAGCGGGCGACCAGTTTCAGGCTACCACCTCTGCTGCATTTCGGTGCATGAGTTGTTTCTATGAGGTTGTTCTGTTCTGTTGCTGCGTTCTTGATAGGGAATGGAAAACGGGCATGTGCAGGTGTGGACAGTGATGACTCAGATCCTGATTTCAAGCCAGTGAATAAGAAGCTGAGAGGCTCCATCAACACATACCCCAGGGTAAGACTTTTTGCGTCACCAGCATACTTCTATGCTTGTCACTGTACACACACACACACACACACACACACACACACACACACACACACACACACACACACACACACACACACACACACACACACACACCCTTACACTTACGCATGCCCATCGCTGCATACTTCTATGCTTGTCACTGCACACACACACACACACACACACACACACACACACACACACACACACACACACACACACACACACACACACACACACACACACACACACACACACACGCACACACACACACATACACACACACGCACACACACGCACCCTCACACTTACACTTACGCATGCCCATCGCTGAAGCGATGATAGCGAACAAGCTATGTTAGACGTAGCAACTTGTGCTGGGATTACACCATTCAACGGCTTGCAAGGCTGATAAATTGACCACCACTAAGTTTAGCCTGTTCTACACGGTAACACCACACAGCTGATTAAAGCGGCTTTTTTCTGGCCAGTGAATCCTAATTTTCCATTTTTTTTCACACAAACAAACACACACACACACACTCTCTCTCTCTCTCTCTCTCTCTCTCTCTCTCTCTCTCTCTCTCTCTCTCTCTCTCTCTCTCTCTCTCTCTCTCTCTGTATTAGCAACTTGTGGTATAAATTATTATGCACGTGCTTTCGCCTTCCTCCCTTTCTTGACTGCATAGTTGATAAAGCATCGTGGAATGTGTGTTTGTGTGTTTATGTGTGCACGTGTGTGTGTGTGTGTGTGTGTGTGTGTGTGTGTGTGTGTGTGTGTGTGTGTGTGTGTGAGTGTGTGTGTCTGCATGCATGTGCATGCTAATGTGCCGTTTTTTGTGTCGGTTGGGCACACACCCTGCTAATGCTAGCCTCGTCAACACAGAGGTATCAAGTATGAAGACGATGACCCCACCGGGGATTCATCTTCGTCGCACGTGGACGGCAGTACCATGTCCATTGGGGGCAGTGGCAATACACCGTCGTGGTCCTGTCAGCTGAAGTCTGGTGTTGCCACCCCGGTTACATCCATGCCAGGCGTGGCCGGGGGAGATGTCACTGCCTCCTATGCGCCAAGTAAGTCTCTATTGCCAGGTGTGTACTGTTCAACTGCGGCCTGTTCTTGTGTGGGCTGCAGTTTCCAGTTTGATGGCGTTGTAAATGTCGTCAATGGCTTCTCCAGGTTTGAGGTTTTTAGCAAACTTCTTTAGACGCTGCTGCCGATACAGCATGTGCCCTATCACCCTCTCTCCCCCCCCCCCCCCCCCCCCCCTCCCGTCATCGTTGAAGCTGCTGAGGGTGGCTGCTGTGGCATCTACCGCATTTTCCGGAGTATAGTGCGCACTTTAGATGTGCTATTTTAGGCCCTAAATCGCAGGTGCGCACTATGCTCCGAATATGAAATGCATGTACTTCAATGAAGATTGAAGTGCGCACCCCCAATGAAGATTGGGGGTGCGCGTTATACAAAGGTGCGCACTATACTCCGAAAAATACGGTATTCATTTTGCGTTCACTCGAGTGCCCTACAGCAAAAATGGTTTGTGTGGTGTTGGAGCTACAGAATCATTTAGTCATTGCCAGGCACATGCAGATCGGACGTTTCTATTCTGTTGGCCTAGTCTCCGTCTTTTGCGTGTTTGCGTCCGCTGTAGTTTCAGTGTTGTTTCGACTATCGCACGTATCAATAAATTGCATTTGTAGTACTGTTGAAGCCTGCTCAAGCGACCACTTTTCCTTGCCACCCAATGTGTACCAAGCGTGCACTGGACGCAGCGAATGGGACTTCCGGTGTCTGACCATTTTTTGTCGGGTCTGATCTATTCCCCTCCCACCGCTTTAGGAGCTGCGTCCGCACCTTGATCCTTGAGGGTGGTGGTGTTCCGACGGATGTGGAAAATTATTCTGACTGGCTGGAGCAAACTGTAATTTTTTTATGCGCAAAGGGCAGAGGCGTAGCTCACACGTCTGTGGTGTAGTGATTGTATACCACAGGCAACCTCGTAGCCGCCATTTTGCCTATGTAGTTGCTACGACGACCGTTCCCTGGTGTGGTGATCGGACTAGACTGACTATATACGAGCTACGCGCCGGCGGGGCCACCGCGATAGAGATCACCTTCGTCCGAACACTGCGACAGGCCCCCTGCTCTGGGCGGGTGTTGAAACCAGGTCTCGCCCGTGCATGTTTCATTGACACGCTCGTGTGGCTTTTTTTCGTTTCCCGCTTTCCCAGGCACTCCGGAGCAGGTTCCGTCTTCGGCATCTTCTTCTGGTGCGGCGCAGGTCTGCTTTGCCTGCAAGTGTACCGTGCACGATTACACTACCAGAAAGGCACTGGAGAAGCAAGTCCGAGAAAGGTAAGGCAAAGGCTGTTCTGATGCATCCACTGATGGATAAAGGGAAAAAGTGTGAAGAAAAAAATTGACTGTCACCACCAGGACTCAATTTTGTATTTTAATTTTCTGCTTTTGCTGTGTGATGGTCTAGTTATGCCTGAAGCTCTGAGTGACTGTCATCATCTTTACAACTACATGTACTCGGTCAAAATTTAATGTCTTGAGTTCTGCATTTTATAGTGCATGTTTCTATGAAAACAAATACCCGGATTTCTGCCGGATTTCTTTGCCGACAGTACTTCTGTTGCAGGTGGCTCACGTTGGCAAATATTGTGCATGGCTGGTTTTTCACTGTCGAACATCCACTGCTGCCTGAGGCTTATGTTTAGTCACGCGTGCTTGCGAAAGTGCAGTGCAGTCGCCGTGGCCGAGTTGTGTCGTGTGCAGCTCGTGGTGACATGGTGTGTGTGTGTGTTTGTGTTTGTGCATGTGTGCGCGCATGTGTGTGTGTGTGTGCTTGGGTGCATGTGCGTGTGCTTCTCCGCTCGGCTGTTGGACTTGCGCAGAGTGCCGACTATATTCTACGGGACGCGTACACACAAGCAGGTTGCGCAGATTATCGGCGAGCTCCGCAAGACGGTATTCAACAATGTCAGGTGGGTGAGCAAGGAATGCATTCCACTGCCCAGGCAGCACACGACTGTATTCACCTGCTGTATCTAATGTTACTATGTATTAAAGCAACCAGTGGCCAGCTCTTTCGTTCACAAGACTTGCTGTTAATGGTCAAATTGCGCTCGGCGCAACTGGCTGACCCAGCGACACGGGCAGTACATGCATAAGCTGCGCTATCAGATCTGAGCAAAGTGATCGGCCCATGGCCAGGCAGATGTGTAAGAAAATCATTCCAAAGCCTTTAATGTTGTAACAATCAACGGCTCCTCCAGTGACTGTAACCACTATGAACGTATGATAAAGTCCTTCAGTTTGGACTTAGAATTTTCTTTTTTCTACTGGTGACTGACGGTGTAAATTCATATTTGCTTCAGTTCCCAAACTGATGAACAGCATGCCGTGTTTCCCCGAATAAAAGATGCACTCGATTTTAAGTCGTATGTACGCACTCTTGGTCTCATGCGGTGAGTGACCGGTATCTTTTTTTCTCTCTTTTTTTGCTTCTCTGCATAGGATGACTATATTAGCCAGTCGTGAGCACTATTGCGTGCATCCTGTCGTGTCCAAGTCGGCAAACAAGAGCGAGCTGTGTCGTGAACATGTCAAGGTGAGAGAGAGAGCACAGTGAGTGAATTTTCTACTACATTGTAAGTGTAACTCTTACCAAATGCTCAGTGGTTAGAGCATCGCCGGCCTCAAGCGAAGGTCCCTGGTTTGAGTCCTGGTGGTGACCGTCAGTGTTTTCTTCGGACTTTTTCCCTTTTCCATTCCCTCGCCTAATGGACGAATGAAAATTGTTTTGTTTTGGAAGGGGGCGGGTCTCGTCTTGGGCTTTTGAAATTGTGAACTTGAACGGCTATTGGCCCCCCGCTTGCTTTTGTCTTCTTATTTTTTTTTTTGAAGAATTCATCCCGTCCTTGAAGTAGTTCCTGTGAGTAATGAAATTGAGACTGCATGTACATGGCTATGCTCAGTGTCATCCTATTCCTTGTTCCCGTCGTGTCTTTCTGATACAAGTATATACCACCTGTATAGCTCTTCTCTCTCTCTCTCTCTCTCTCTCTCTCTCTCTCTCTCTCTCTCTCTCTCTCTCTCTCTCTCTCTCTCTCTCTCTCTCTCTCTCTCTCTCTCTCTCTCTCTCTCTCTCTCTCTCTCTCTCTCTCTCTCTCTCTCTCTGTCTCTGTCTCTGTCTCTGTCTCTGTCTCTGTCTCTGTCTCTGTCTCTGTCTCTGTCTCTCTCTGTCTCTGTCTCTGTCTCTCTCTTTCTCTCTCTCTCTCTCTCTCTCTCTCTCTCTCTTTCTCTCTCTCTCTCTTTCTCTCTCTCTCTCTCTCTCTCTCTCTCTCTCTCTCTCTCTCTCTCTCTCTCTCTCTTTCCACGCATTTATGACGCACTGCAACATGGTTCTTTCCTATTGCCAGCGAACCAAGAAGAAGAAAGAGTATTTTAGCGGAGATTCGTCTGACGATTCTCTTGGTGAACTTGAGCCGAGTAGCGGCTTTGGGAGGAAGCGTCCGCGGCGCTTATTCAGAACGAAACACAAGAAAAGCAAAAGGCTGGACACGGGTGAAGGTCGCAGCAAATCGGTCGGCAACGAACAAGAAAACACGAGCGAACCGCAAAAGGTATGCCCTTGCTGGTGTGTTGCTTGATGTTGACTACGGTACCATGGTTACCATCGATGGACGCTCAAAATCACGAGCAAACATTCTGAAAGAGGACGTTTCGTTCACGAATTCTGTTGGTTTTTAGAGCTCAGCAAGGGAACGAAAATCACTAACGGACATTCTGAAAGAGGAATTTTTTTAGTGCGCAGATATGGAGCAAAGGATTGTTGAGTTATCATTTTGAAGGAGGCGTAGCAATGATAATATCATTGCTCTGTTGGTCAGTTGGTGCTGTGCTGTTCATTGCTCAGACGTGAGCAGCAACGTGTGCTGGCCTCATGTATGGGTACTGTCGATGAACGGCGGTGATTATTTGCTCCCACCAAGATTTGTATCCATGCAGCTCAAGCGAGTTCGGATAGATCTATCTCATTTTCTGAAAAGAGTTAGCTTAACAATCATGTTCTTTTCCATAGTGTTGACTGTAACATCGTTCGTGTGCTTCGGATTTTGATAGCGAAGTTCGTTGGCGAAGCCTCCATCATTTCCCCGGGAAAGCGTTGTTGGAAATTCACCTGTTGCAAATGGACTGGCCAGACTATTGGACGCATTAGCCAAAGGTGTATTGTCCTGCAGCTCTTGGTTGCGCGTGGGGAGGAGAGTTTGCTGCTCCACATCTCTCTGACGAACCCCATTCCATCGGTATGCCACTTGCTCCAACTCAAATACAATGCTGTGCTGACGACAGGTTACAAGATCGTCCTCGAGTAGAGTGCCTTGAATGTGCAGTTACGACGCACTCATGTGCGGTGTAGCCTCAGAGGTCTGACCGTCTTCCGTGCCGTGCTACGTGAATCCTGTTCTGAGATGATCTACTGTATGTGCGTGCACAATACTTTGGGTGTTGAAGAACGGAGGCACTCACAGTCGCAGCCTGGACCGTTCCAATTTTTCATGGACTGCAGTCCAGGTGTACGTGTCGTGGAAGTCACCTCATGCATACGGTATACTATGCTTGGTGAAAATCTAGCCTACTTGTTCTTCTGCGTCCAACAGGATTATTCTGTGGGAGCCCTATGCGGGACTGGGAAAATGTAGGTACGACGGGTGAAAGACCAAAAAAGACGAACAGACCTGAAATGTGGGAGAGTAGGAACACTGGAGACGCTCCCTGAACTCGCTGAAGAATCCAGGAAAAGGAACAGCAATAACCGAAAAACGAATGACGCTGTGTTTATACATCTGTAAAAATGATGCGCGAGAAAACGTTTCTCGCCTAGCGCTCGGCCGGGGAGACATTTACCGTCTTGCGTGTATTGCAGTATTTCTGTGGCATGTTGGAAGTATGTGTGTAGGCCATGTGTGTAGGCCATGCTACCAGTGTAGATTACGGAGAGTACTGTAAGTCAGCAAATATTCGACGCATATTTATTTTCGGCTATTTTCGGCCTGTTCACGTTTGGCCAGTTTCAGTGTGACAGTGTATACAGGCGGCAGCAGTACAGGCCGAACATTTGATGCGGCCGAATGGGTTTTTATTGGAATGGGCCGAAAATTTGTGGACTTACAGTACCCAGGATACCAAGTGTGTGCTATGTACAGTGAAACCTGTCTAAGACGACCGACCGCTCAAGGGACCTTCAAAATGTGGTCTCTGTTACCAGGTCGTCTCCTTATCCAGGGTCATATGACTGGAAATACAGTCGTCCCTCTCTAATCCGGCACCTTTTGCAACGGCATTTTCTGCTGGATAAACAATGGTGCTGGATTATCAAATCCTGCCCTCTAACCCGGCCCACGTGTTATCATACATGTTTGTGTCGTACGTCAAAGCGTAGGGATTTTCTGTGTCAAACCAAGTACTTTGTGGAATGCATGTCTATAACATACACTTGGGAATATCCTATGTACTGGCATAGGATATTACCAAGTGTATGTTACATGTGCTGTGTATGTTACAATGGTCCCTGGTAGTCTGCGATGTACAACTGCTGGATTAGAAAATCGAATTATGTACTGTTTGAGTGATTTGTTGCAGAAAATCGCTGCTGGAGGCGGAATTCAAGTGCCGGATTAAAACGTAGAAAATGAACTGAAAAAATCCGTTTTGCCAGAAAGTGTGCTGGTTTGCAAGGGTGCTGGATAAACAAGTGCCGGATTAGAGAGGGACGACTGTGACATCCCTTGGTCCTGGCTGCAGTGGTCGTCTGGGACAGGTGGTCGCCTTATCCGAGTGGTGGACTTGACAGGTTTGACTGTATTGTGTTCTGTGCCTGGCTTGACCTAAGGATGGCGACTGCCGTTTCTACCGCAACATCCATAAGATCAACTCCTTCGAGAATATCGCTTTGTTGGGACTCGACCATGCCTGGGATATTGAGGAGCTGGTGACGTTGGCCAAACAGAAGAAGACACGGGTATGTTGTTTGGAATGTGTTGTTGCACTTGCCTTCCGCTGCCGCCCCCGTGTGTGTTTGTGTCTGTGTCTCTGTGTATGAAAGAGAGAGATTGTGTGTGTATGTGTTTCTGTGTGTCTGTGTGCGAGAGAGAAAGAGAGTGAGAGAGAGAGTGTGTGTGTGTGTGTGTGCGCGCGTGCGTGCGTGTGTGCACTGGCGCTCACCTGAATTACAAGTTCTCACACAGTATTTTGCATTTGCAAATAATGCACAGGCATGTGGCCCGTTACGTATACCGTTAGTGGCAAGCTTGCACACTCTCATAGGAGTATGGAACTAGCTATGGGTCTGGTGTCTTGAGGATTCCTACTGCTGGAATGACAGCTGATGTGCACACATAGAAAGCCAAGGGAGCGCATCCGAGACATTCGCATCTTATTGAATCGCCGTGTCGTGAGGTCACACACACCCTTACTGAGGCTGTACTGTTGGCAACAGGAGCTGCAGTACATGCATTTCTCTCTGTGCATAGTAAGGTGTCTCTTCATGTGCGACATTCGCCATGATATCGCTAGTTCTATATCCGAAAAAGTCGTCTACACTGACGATGATGGCTTTGCATAGACTGATATAATTATTGTACTTGTGTTTCATCTTAATCCTGGGGATTGCATTCTTGGCTACTGACGTATGGTGCTACTCCCTGTTTTGTCCCTATTTCCATCCCTGTTTCTACCCTGTTTCACTGCTCTTGCATGTCTTTTCTGGCAGGCGTGTCCTTACTTTGGTGCTCGAGAGCTGGCTAAGGGTGCGCAGATCATTTTCTGCCCGTACAACTACCTGATCGACCCGCTCATCCGCAAGCAGGTACGTTTGACCGTCTGCGTTGTTTGTATCGTGGCGGCAACACAGTAATACTGGTTGGATCATGTCTCAGTGTTGTGGTGGTGTGTTGCTCTGATTGACCGGTGTCGTGTACAGTCAACTTCGCTAATAACGACTGCGGATATAACGACAATTCCCGAATAACGACAGAATTTCCATGCCCAGAGCAAAGTCCCATCTAACTGTATTGCATAATAATGAGACTTCGGGTATAACGTCACTTCGCGAATAAGGACAATTTTCTGATGCCCGCCGAGTGTCGTTATACGCAAAGTTGACTGAAGATAATCGCGTTTTGTCTGCGTTCTTCTTCCTCCGGAGACGAATAAAACTTCGTGACTTTGATCACCTGTCAGTTCTGGTGAATTGACCTCTGATATATTGAGCAATGGTGACTCCTAGTGAAACTCAACGGTGCCAATTTTTCGTGTACATACTTCAAAGAGATACACTCAAACGCCTCTTATCCGGACGCCTCAGATACGGGCACGTCTCTCTCTACCGGGCACCTTCAGCTTGAGTTCCTATAGCAAAATTGCTTCGAATTTGGGGGTTTTGAATTATTTCCGTATGTGGAAGTGATTATTTTTCACTGCCAACCTATGTAATCCACACATTTTTTTATCAATGGGTTCCTTTTGTATTCCAAACATGAGCAATACGTTCCAAATAAACTTCTTCAAAAATGATAATGATACATGGTAGATGAATTCTCCCGAGATACGTTCTAATCTGAGATATGGGCAGTGCCTGGTCCCAAGGTGCCTGGATAAGAGACGTCCGAGTGTATATCCACTCATTGTCTTGTACCGGTAGTTTTTTTTTTTGTTCCACTGAACTTAATTCCTTGTGCTCAGCATCTCCTTTGATGATATGAATAAACAGTCACGGAGTTTTTCTTTCCGTAAAGCTGGAAGAAGAATACAGTGGGTTGCTAGTGTTTGTTTTTTGCGTTGTCGAGAGGGTTTTCTTGTTGCTGACAGTTGAGAGATCTGTTCACTTCCTGTGCCTTTCCTTCAGATGGACATTGAACTCAGAGGCAATGTGGTGGTGCTGGACGAAGCACACAACATCGAGGACTCGGCCCGCGACGCCGCGAGCGCCGACGTGAAATTTGACGACATCGAGCTGGCGCTGATCAATCTCCGAAAGCTGCGTACGTTGTCTGCAGCTGATGTAATACCTTGTGTGGCAAATGGCAATGGCCTCTTATTGTAAAACTATGTGGCGTATACAGTACTGTACCGGTTATTAGTCGACCGTTATGACCTAAAAACCGAACTAGAAAAGGGCTTTTCCCGTTTGCAACTTTCCCTCAAACTAATGAATGATAGCAAGAGTACATGAAAACCAGAGTGTGCAGCTTGGGGCCTTTTCTGCTATGTGTGTCTGTCACGGCGAAATTCCGTGATTGCATCATATTTGGCGCAGATCTGAGGCGGGAAATGGCGTAGTGCGTACAACTGAGCTGCAGTTGTGCAGAAAGAGACCTGCTTGAATCCTGCTTGTACGCACTACATCACTAAAATGATGTAATCACGGAATTCCGCCGTGACAGCAACCCATCCGAGCTGCACACTCTGGTAGTCATGTGCTATTGTACTCTGGAGGATAGAAAAGGAGGTAGTCGACTTACCACCGGGGTTTAATCACCATTTTAACAGGGCCAATCGAGGCCCCAAGGACGGGTGGTCGACTTGAGACCCCGGTAAGATACGGTAGTTAGGCCGCTTAACAGTTGTGTATTCTCTTGCCAGTGATATCCTGCTGCTCGACTTGTGACCTACCGTATTTCCCCGATTATAAGTTGCAGCCCATTCTCACGTCCGAACCGAATCGTCTCAATGCATTCACATAAGGGGTCGTCGCAAAAGTTTTTTGTCGTCCCTGAAACGAACATGATTCATTTGGGGGGGGGGGGGGAGGGGGTGCGAGCCAAAATCGCAAGTCGACCGACACACTGTACATATGACATGTACATGCATGCGATTTTCGTCGTCCAGCATAGCAAGCTGTGTTCGTTTCAGAGGGAGGGGAGGGGGTCCGAGTACGAAATGAACGATGTTCGTTTCAGGGACGACAGAAAACTTTTGCGATGACCCCTAAGTAAGAAGTCACTTTCGATTGCAAGCCGCACCCCCTTCTTTGCCCTTGAAGTTGAGTGTAAAACGGTACGACTTACAATCGGGGAAATACGGTATGTACAACGTTCCCTCTATTACGGCCACCACTCTAGACCACATATTTCTGGCAATATGACTAGATAATGGCACATAATAGCCACAGCTTGCTGATCAATACGTCTATCCAGGCATACAACTCAGCTGAAGGAGCAATCCAAAGTGTTGCACCAGTGAAATCATCAACGGGTGTTCAAGCAAGGCGGCACACCTTAACATGTTCCACTCGACCCAGACCAAAATCCTCTTGGATTTGAGTTCACGCTGATTTTGGCTACTGATGGACCCCTGTCCAATTGCTGGGTGGAATGTTTGTATGAAATTGTGCATGTGTGCTACTTGTTTCTATGTCCCGTACAGTTGAGAAAAGCATTTTGGCGAGGCACCACCGGCCCCTGGAATCGATGGTAAGTCTATGGCTTTATGGTGTCTGCCCATGACTCGAAAGTGCTACTGCTGAAGTGTGAGTGAGATCTTGGCGATGTCTGCTGCTGGCTATGTAACCGATGAGGGTAACAAAGCATTGGTTGTGTTCGAATCTTTTTGAAGTCAGTGCCATATTTCTTTGTCTCGCTCTTTCATTCTCGTCCTCTCTCTCTCTCTCTCTCTCTCTCTCTCTCTCTCTCTCTCTCTCTCTCTCTCTCTCGCTCTCTCTCTCGCTCTCTCTCGCTCTCTCTCTCGCTCTCTCTCGCTCTCTCTCTCGCTCTCTCTCTCTCTCTCTCTCTCTCTCTCTCTCTCTCTCTCTCTCTCTCTATCTCTCTCGCTCTCTCTCTCTCTCTGTATTTTACCTTTGGTCAGTTGTCCAGTTTGGCTGGCTGGATCAAGTCGATGGAAGGCAATCTGATAAGCAATGAGTTTGAGAAGTATTCCCGTACCTGGACTGGTATCGACATGGTACGGGAGCTGGACAGGAAGTGTGCCATCAACTCTCAAACCCTTTCACTTTATCGGGTGAGTTTGCTCATTATTATGTTTTATGAAATGGTTGTGTGTGAACATATCTTGCCATTACGGTGGAACTCCAATATAAAGCACACTGGATATGATGTACTGTGCGAAATGGTAACGTTTTTGAGGTCCTTGCATTCTATGATACAAGTCATTTGACCTTGGATATGCACAGTGTTTTGGCTACAAAGTACAGATTTTACAGCCCTTGGAAGTATGTTATGCTGAGATTCTCTGTACAGTCAACTTCGCTTATAACGACACTCGGCGGGGCCTCAGAAAAGTGTCCTTATTCGCGAAGTGTCGTTATACCCAAAGTCTCATTATATGTGTCACAGTTGGATGGGACTTTGCTTTGGGCATGAAAATTATGTCGTTATTCGCGAATTGTCGTTATATCCGCAGTCGTTATTAGCGAAGTTGACTGTATGTGGTGCTGTATCTGCTCTAGGGTGTTAGTGGTTCCAATTTTCGTTATTTTCACTCGTGAGCAGGAAGCTGGCAATGTGCGTTGCTGGGATATTGTACACACGTACCTCAGCTATCCGAACACCCCAGCTGCGGGCGCTTGGTCTACCATGCCTAGCTTGTAATTGGCTATAGACATACCCACGGTAAAACCTGCCCTAACCGCACGCCCTTTGTGCAGCGGAAACTGTCCTGATATGACGGGTTTCCGCTTAATCCAGGATGTATGTTCGATTCATAGCATGTCGGTGCATGAAACATTGTCCGGTCAATGCAGGATTCCGCTTGGTACAGGGTCCAGCAACCACAGGTTTTTGCTGTTTTTGGTCATGTCACTTGCTGTACGTTGACATTTCTATCTGCGTCTGTGTTACCTCGATGCTGCTCCCGCTTGCTGCTTGGACTGTTCAGACTCACTACGCTGAAGCACAGAAGCATCTTGCCGAGCAACGTAACATGGCCACGCAGGGGTAAGTGACCAGGGAGCAGTCATTGTCTGTGTGATCACACTTTGAGTGTGTGGAGTGGTGCTGTTACCCAGGCTGTCATCACACGCAGGCAATTCGTTCAGTGTGTAGTGGCACTGTTGCCCAGCCCACGGTCACATGCAAGCAGTGCGTTCAGGGTGGAGTGGTGTTGTTGCCCAGGTCGTGACCACACGCAAGCAATGTGTTGCAATATTTCCAATACAGCCCACTGCAGTTGTACAATGTACTACATTTTTAGCGTGGTATGTTGTCACAGAGCTGAAGGTACTACAGTAATCCGACTTGGGCATTGTACAGGTTTTTGGGTATGTGTGCGCATGCAGGGGTGTGCACGGGTGTGTGCGCGAACCCTGTGATATTTCTGTGGATGTAGTGTTTGGAGGTGCAGAGTAGTTTTTGGAAATGCAACTCGGCAGCCTCTTCATTCATGCTCCAAAGTTTGCGGCGCAGTTCCTTATTCTCCCTCCTCTCTCTCTCTGTCTCTCCTTGTTTGCTATTTGTTGTTTCATGTGTAGAGATCCACGTGATGCGAATGATCTGGACGATGAGATGATGCTTGGGCCCACCGCAGCCCTGTTTGACACTCTCTTCATGGTTCTCAGCTTTCTACTGGACAACAATGCCAGGCATGCCATCGACTATCGGTATGTGATATTGATAGTGAGGTGCGCGCTGCAGATCGTGTCCTGGATGAATTCTCTGGGGGCAAGGGGTTGGGATACGTTGTGTTGGCTAGTGCAGGTCGAGTCATGAGGTTGTACGACCTCCAGAGGCAGGGAAATTGCTATTGTATAGTTTGTATGGGAAATTGCTATTGTATAATTTGTATTATCCGCCGCATACTGTATGCAACGACATGTGGCAGCTACTAAGTATCTGCTGCAAGTACCGTAGAATCCCACCAGAGTGACAACCACTTGGGGCCCCTCCGTGGGTTGGGGCGGATGGGAGATCACTCCACGGTTCTCTTCAATGCAATCCTGGACGGGTCACGCCGTACTCGTACAGTGTAGATACTGCACGACGGGCAGACTTTAGTATGGATCTCGGTATGCACGAAACACTGATCCCAGTGGACCCATGTCCATGCGTGCATGGCACACAGGCAAGGTTGGATAGTTACAGTTTCATTTTGCTAATCGTCCGGAAACGTGTCATAGCAGTTACGTGCACCGGGAATGCGTGCTTGTGACGGAGGTGTGAAGCTGTGCAATAAAGCAAGTTAGTTTTGCGTGACCATCTTCTACCTGTAATTTAGGTCTGTCTTGTCTGCCTGTCTGTCTGTCTTCAGAATTAATATCGAGAAAGTAAGGGGAAGACCCAAGCCGGTTGTCAATGTGAGTGAAGGATTTCTCTCTTCTATCTGTACTGATTGCTGCGTTTGTGTGCCATGAGCAAGCAAAGATATGGTGTAATATCATGCAGACTGGCCGGATTACGTCACACCCCTGTATCATGTATGAACAGGACAAGGGGAAGTGAGCTAACTTACATGACTATTGTATTAGTAGCTGGAAATCAATTTCACGCCACTGTTTGGAGTGGTCAACGCAATTTGAAAACGTCTTGTGGCTGCCTGATTTCATACTAGACTGCTCAGTACCCACTCCTCAACTGAAGTATACTACTAGATATTCATGACTGGTGAACGCTTACACGGGTATTCGTTTTGTCTGTGTTATTATAACTTATTGTATGTCCATGCGTGTGCGTGCACGTGTGTTCCTGTCTCATGTCCGCCCTGGACATCCGGATTTCCAGCAGAGGGGTTTTATACGTCGACCTCGTGAGTTTTCATCCGTTGCTTTTTGATTGTGACAATTCTGCTCTGAATCTGGAATAACATGAAGCACTACTGTTGCACCTTGCTCTTGTGTCGGATTTCCTTGCACTGTGCTGTAAAAGCTCAGTTTAATGGCCCACCATGTGCCGTAACGACCAAGACTTTGTAGCTTAGGTAGCTAGGTGAAGTTCTCTATATCTGATATGGAATGACCAGGAAAAGTCATGAAGGGTTCTCGAATTTTTCTCAGTGTTTGATGCTAGCAACTTAGTAGTAAAAAATGTATGTAGGGTCTGTGGTACTTTATAGGGTATTCACACGACGTGTAAATGCACGTTGACACGTTTGTTCAAAAGTGGACAAGCCACCCAGCGGATTCGCACAAGACTTTGCCAATCTTGCACGCGTCACCCGACCCTAGCGGGGAGTCGTAAAGTAGCGGTATTTTACGACTCCCTGATCCACGTGACCTCGTGGGCGGTGACCTCGTGGCCACGTGGTGGGTGGTGCGGGGAAAGAATTGAAAAAATGTTCGATCTCAGAATGTTGAGGAAATGCAGCTAGATAGACGTAGCAGCTAGATTGATTCGCCGGAAGTAGGTTAATAATCTCTCGGTTTGTTTGGAGAATGGCAGCTTCAAGTATGTTGGCTCTGCTCGCAATGCAGTCGCAAAGTGACAGCCATGGTCGTAGGGGATCTATTGCGGCCAAATTTCTTGCAACACGAAAACGAGGGCACTCAAAGGATATTCTCCCAGATCGAAGGCATCCCATCCCGCAAGGAAGTCTTATGTTGTGTCCCCGGCTGAGTCTTTATTGCTGCACAATGAGTTTGACGCTTCGCGTCGTGGTAGTCGATTTTGGACTGCACATCCTCAAGGTGAAAATGAAGGCACTTGGGAAATCGAGGTGAATGGAAGCTGGTCTCGTCTGGGGATGTTGTGTCCTGACGTGGAGGAGAGTAGATTTTTTCAGCGCTACCGTGTCAACAAACCCACATTCAACAACATAGTCAAGAAGCTGGGAGATGTATTGGAGAAGCAGGATACCAACATGCGTCAGTCTATCTGTGCACGGAAACGCCTTGCCATTTTCCTACACTGGATGGCACAGGGCAATGAGTTCCATCAGTTGGCGACGGAATATCGAGTGGGAACGTCAACAGTTCACAATATTGTTCATGAAATTCTGCCTCGCATCTGCAGGATGGCATGTGGTGAGATCGTGCTCCCCACTTCTCCGGAGTCATTGCGGACTACAATGAAAGGGTTTGAAAACCTATCTGGTCTCCCTGGATGTGCCGGGGCTATCGACGGCACATTCATGCATATCTCCAAGCCAATCTTCTTCGGCAATGTGTATTTCTGCTATAAGCAATACCCTGCTTGTTACTTGTTTTGACATGCGTCAAAAGTGCTGGTCTCATCACCTACATTAATACTGGACTTCCTGGCCTATAATAACAGTGCACTGAAGGAGAAAATAAAGAGTGGAGAGTGGTTGTTGGGTGTGACAACACCAGTGCATGGAGTGCAAGTATCTCCATATATTGTTGGAGATGCTGCATTTGCTTTTTCCAAAAAACTCATGAAGTGCTATGCTACTCCTCCCCAGCAGCAAAGTGAGGCGCAGCGCCGGTTCAACCACTGCTTGATCCGTACAAGGAGAGTGGTGGAGAACGCCTTTGGGCGGCTCAAAGCACACACACACACACACACACACACACACACACACACCACACACACACACACACACACACACTCACACACACACACACACCACACACACACACACCACACACACACACACACACACACACACACACACACACACACACACACACACACACACACACACACACCACACACACACACACCACACACACACACACACACAACACACATACACACACCACACACACACACACACACACCACACACACACACCACACACACACACACCACACACACACACACACACACACACCACACACCACACACACACACACACACACACACACACACACACACACACACACACACCACACACACACACACACACACACACACACACCACACACACACACACCACACACACACACACACACACACACACACACACACCACACACACACACACACACACCACACACACACACACACACACACCACACACACGCACACACACACCACACACACACACCACACACACACACACACACACACACACACACACACACACACACACACACACACACACACACACACACACACACACAACTGCAACAGTACAAGCTATATTTTTTGCATTAACGCTGCCATGAATGCAGCATTGGTCTGTTGCAATGTCTGCGAGTGCCGTTGCTGTCCCTGCTCCAAGGCAGTCATGACCTTCACGTCCTCGCAGCGGCGTTCATCTTCAGCCCTATCCTTCTCCGTATCCCGCTTGTCGAGGTACTCAGCCCACTGCGTCTGCATCTTCGAGTCATGTTCAAACTGCCGGGCTTGGAGCTCGAGATTAATTTCTCGTAATTCGCGCAAAAAGGCGACCTGGCTCTGCGCTTTGCGGGTCGTCCCTGTTGCTGCCGGTGACTTTGCTGCTACTCTGCGCTGAGGGGTGTCCAGTTGCTCTGTGGCAACACTCGATGTCGCCACAGCCGCAGCACACTGTGGGCTGTCACCATTTGCATCCGTATCTGGGGAAAGCCCCGGAGTCACCGGTGGCACATTGCTGATGTCAGAATTGGCATCAGAAGAAATGCTACCACTGTTGCCGCTGGTGGCGCCAAACAGAATGTCATCCAGGTGACCATCGGCTGGCATCTGTTCTCCCGAGTGTGGCCGGGCCTGTGGCAACATCGGCCGTTTGGCAGGGTGAGCTGAGAATGGCAAGGGCGGTTGTGAAGACTGTGACACACGTTCTGATGGCGACGGGCCTCCATCTGCCACAACAACAAGAGATGGGTGGTTCTCCCCCACAGCTATCTCCTTGCACGCTCTAGGGCCCCAGGTGGGATGACCCTTGAAGCATTTGTGATACGTTCGGAAATTGCTCCACTAGTAGTGTGCAGCCTCAAGGTCCACGCTCTCGTCCTCATCAGCATCGTTGCTGGAACCAGTCTTTTTCTTAAAATGTTTTTTATGCAACTCTCCGCCTTTCGCTTTCGTACTGTCCACTTTGTAGAGGATTTGCACCTCGCTGTATCGTTCTGTTGACCCTATATCGGAGAGGTAGGAGTTGAGCTCCTTCGTCACTGCAGCAACTTTCAAGGATTTGGTCCGCATTTTCTTATCGTTGGTGATCAGCATTTCGGACCAGAGTTCAAGGAACCTCTTTTCAGCATCCTTGGAAAATACACACTTCGGCATGATCGCTGAATCCGTCTCACTCAACACTTCACAAAGCAAAAACAGTTCCTGAACATCAACACTTCAGCAAAGACAGTTCCTGAAACAACAGTTGAAGGAAAACCACGGCCACTTTCATTGGTTTTGCTTGTGTGCAAAGCACAAACGTGGGCCAAGGGCCACGCTCACGTTCAAAAAGATTTTGCTCACGTTTTGGTCAGACAAGTATATCCCTATGGAAACAGCGTGATACACGTGCATTTGCTCGTCGTGTGAATCCCCTATTACGCTGGAGGTTCCTGGTGTGGTGTGTTGAGCGTATCTACTATGATGTGCCGCTCGGTCTGTCCGATGCAGGTGAAGATGATGCTGAGTTTTGGTCTCTGACGCTACACTTCTGGTGCCTAAACCCAGCAGTCGTAAGTGTTTGTCTTTGCATTCTGTTCATGTGCTTTCTCAGCTCGTTTCGTTAGTTCCGTATACTGTAAAACATGTAATTTTAGGTGCATTAAAATGTCGGTGCCACAGACCTACCAGGTTTCAAGTGTAATTTAGAATTAGGTGACCAGCATTCCCTTCACATACAGTGCATACTCTAGTGCCTTTTAGGTGCAATTTAAATTTAGGTGCCTGGTTTCTCTACCGAAATCACTGAAATTAAAGTTACACCGAAAATTACGTGTTTTACAGTACTGGTATTGAAGGTCTAGATGTGTGCAATGTCTATACTGTCAGTCAACAAATATTCGGCGCATATTTATCTTCGGCTATTTTCGGTCGGGGGATTTTGGGTCTAATTTTTTTGCGGCCTAATTTTTGTTTTGCAAGGTTCAATGTGACAGTGTGTACGGGAAGCAGCAGTATAGGCCGAAAATTGTAATGCGATCGAAATGTGTTTTAGGCTCACTTTTAGCAACTCCAACCAGCCCGTACATGAAAAAAGAATGTGCAAGGCCCATTTTAAATTTTTTGTTGCAAATTATTTCGGCAGAAGTAGGATCAAGTGCCTAGGTAGGTCTTTCCGCACTTGTCACGTAGATATCTGACACGGTGTCAGCTCCTTTGGTCCTAAAGTTCAGCGTTGTCTCCGCCATCCTTATACCTCTGTGCTGCCCCGTTTGCGTTTGTTTGCTCTGTTGTTTTATTTTCCTTTCCCTGCAGTGCTTCAAAGAGATCGACAATGCAGCCCGTACCATCGTTCTCACTTCCGGAACGTTAGCTCCAATCGATTCATTCTCATCCGAACTCGGCGTCATGTTCAAGATTGCCATGGAAGGCAACCATGTGGTGCCCAAAGATCAGGTTTGTTTCATGCTTGTGCCGGTTTCTTTTCCGGCATGCCTTGCTTGGTTTTGATCCATAGAGGATGGTGGTGTTTCTACGGATGCGGGAAACTCAGCCTTCAGCCGAGTCTCTCGCGAACCATGAATTGTTTTGCCTGCTTTTTCTTTTCGAATGTCACCTTTGTAGTCGTTATGCACGTTGCGGTTGCTTGTGTTCATATTCTAACGTACATGTACATGCATTTCCCTTTGCTCTATCCCTGTACAGGTGTGGGTGCAGACCTTAGGAGCTGGTCCTAACCATGTCAAGCTGAATGCCGCCTATAAGTTTGTGGAGGTAGGTACTCTAATTTCAGAAATTTTAGGCGCTCAAAAATTGTCGGCATGGAGCAAAAGGCCAGGTTAGGTGAACAAAAATTTTCGGTACAGAGAAGCAGTTCCCTATTGGATTATACGTGTTATTGTTTGTTCGGTTATTGAAGTTTTAGGTATGAAACAGATGCACCGAAAGTACTGAAAATAGAAGTACACCGAAAATTTGTGAAATTACAGTACACTCGTGTGTATGCAAGCCGAATCCCAAATCCGGGACACAGAGATACAGAGGACATACAGTTGCGCTCACTGAAATCCGACCCAGTGTGTGTAAAGCTGGCGCCCTCAACTTCCACGGCTCTTGACGCCCTGGAAGTGGCACGAATGCGGCTGGACGTACACATGTACACGCACAATGATGTAATCGGAACTGATCCAGGGCACCAGCTTTGCACTTTGGGTTGGTTTTCAGTGAGCGCAACTACAGTGCTGGCAACTGAAATCCGACCCCTGGGCGGTGCGTTCACATTCTAGCGGTCTCTATTCCGTAGTGTTACAATCCTGTGTTGGGTCTTTGCGATGTGAGCGCACCGCTCAGGGGTAGGATTTCAGTTGCCAGCACTGTACATGTACGCTGTATCTCTTCCATTGCGCTACATCTCAGAGTTCGTTTTCTTGCTCATAGTGCTTAAAATGCCTGTAGTGGCAGAGCTTTTCATACAAGAACGGGAACCACCTGAAGACGAGTTCGGCTGCAACTTACAGTTTCATGCACGGGACAATCATCAGACAGCAGCCTCTTACTCGCATGTACTGGTCAATGAAATCCGATCAAGCGAATGAATGTCACACCGGGTACCGGGCAGCCCTAGATCTGCGAACACTGAGATGTGACCTGGCGCAGGGCGCAAACTTGATTCATGCAACCAGCTAGCTCCACACAGCTCAGTTCCGGCACTCAATCCCTGCCTGTTCAACATTCCAGGCCTAAGTCCGGATCTGATGTGGTATGTTGTGATGAATCCAGTTCATTTTATGTTTTGTTTTCCTGTTTTCTGTGCATGTTCCAGACTCTCGAGTTTCAGGATGAGCTTGGTATGGTCATCATGCAAATCTGTCAGGTATGGTCAGTGTGTGTGTGTGTGTGTGTGTGTGTGTGTGTGTGTGTGTGTGTGTGTGTGTGTGTGTGTGTGTGTGTGTGTGTGTGTGTGTGTGTGTGTGTGTGTTCGTGTATGCGCACGTCCACTTGCGTGTAGGCACATCCACATGTGTGTGGCGTGTGGGGTGGGGTTTCTCTCTATCTCATATACCGTAAAGTCGTGTATAAAAGCCGCGGTTTATATGACTATTTTGGGGAAATTTTGCAGGCTTCTTTACGAGACAGGTATTTCTATGTATGTCAACACTATAACCAGGCTTTTGTGCAGACTGTCAGTATAGTTATCTTGAAAATCAGGCTTGTATTTAAGACAGGCTTGTATATGAGACAGGCTTTAATACAAGGCACTTTAATACAAGGCACTAGGGTATTATCTGCTGACGACCAATGCATCAACTATGGTTTGATGATTCCCAACCACCTGTGCCATGTTTGCATTTCACACAATATCCTGGACTTGAAGTACTTGCTTGGGCGTGCAGCAACAGTAGTTATGGATCCATAGCAGTGCATATGCGATTACAGTCTCGTTTCTATCCTTGATTGCTGTGTTCTATGCCCATCAGACGGTGCCTTTCGGAGTGCTATGCTTTCTGCCATCGTACAGCATGATGGATAAGTTGATGCGGCGCTGGTCTGTAAGTCTTGAATTCGTGCACTCAGCACATTCAGGTAGTGCTCAAATTCTATGAGTGGTTTCGCAAATTGATTAATAGTGCCTATGAGCAGAGCAGTACGAGTACGCTTTGGCGAGGTACGTTCGGCCCTGGTTTAAATCTGGCTTTGGAAGTTTTATTTTTCATTGCTACCAGGTTCGTCCTCATTTTCTCTGTGCTGCGCTGATGAGTCCACAAAGGACGAAACAGTTCTGTCCGTAGGTTGGGTACGCTTTATACAAATTTCTCGAAATTGTGTTACCCGACAGCAAGAAAAAGAAGAGAAAGGGTGTCCACTGGTACAGATGGTAAAGTTATACAGGTGGAATCCTGATGATTCGAATATGGCTTAATTCGAACATGCCGCTTAATTAGAAGTTTTTCCAGGACCGATTTCTATAAATACGATTCCCACACAAAATTTTCTGATAATTCGAACCTCGAACTGGATATGTTCGGTTAATTAGAAGTCCCACGAATTCCACTTACACAGAAAATGTGTGGGATTTGTGCTGATAATTCGAAGTTAGCAAAGTGTAATTCGAAGCTCACTCTACACTGTACTGGTCAGTTCAGTTTGCATGAACAGGCTGTGCCAGTCAGTTCAGTATCCGTGAAACCTGTGTCTAAGGTCCATAGCGCAACTCTGCGTGATCATGAGAGCATTTTGACATGCATGTTGTGTTGTGGTAGGGATCTCAGCACGTGCAGTGCGCAGGGTGTTTGCGCATACATTGCGTCATCGAGTTTTGAGTGCAGCTCGCGGACACAGCAGAAAATGGCGACGGTCGATTTTCGACACTAGCGGACGCGGTGGCCACTAGCGGAATCGTCATCTTCATCGTCGTTCGAACATACTTTGTGATTCCCGCCGAACGACAGCGTGGCCAAGGCGATATCGCCCCAGTCGATTTTCCTATAATTTGCCATGTGGCAAGAACCCACTTCAGAGAAGATTCAGCCAAAACTTCAGAATTTTTCTCCGGTTAGATTGTCCTAACTTCGATTTTCAGTGCATCAGCCATCGTGAAGATCGCCGCCATTATCACTCAGTGAGAAGACATCGCGCTCAGTAGAAGAGGTGTTCACGCTGCGTCCAAGAGTGAAATATTGTGCTCTTTGACCCTTCATAGTTCCTCTGAGAGAGTGTCTGGGAGATAGGTAGCTTGGAGATGGCCGTAGAACGTGCTTTCCTGGACGCAACATTCAGCCATTTCTACTGTCTTCTTCTACTGGATTTATTTCGAAAAAATGTTCTTTTCCACGGTTTCTGCACTGGACGCGTTTGGGATCGAAAATCTCACCTGCGCAGACTGGCTGCGCAGTTCACGCCCTGAGATCCCTAGTTGTGGGTCCATGTTTGGATGTCCGGATAATTAGAAGTTTTTTCCTGGCATTTTGAGGTTCGAATTATCAGGATTCCACCTGTATTCATTGTGCGAACCTCAGATTTATTTGCTCACTCTTTTGTTCTCCTGCAAGTCAACGCACATCCATTGGTGGATCTTTGATCGGACACGTCCGATTATGCTTAGGATTTTTCCATGGGATTTTCGGTCCACTCGCCTCGCACCGTTTTAGGAGTTGTATCTGCGCCTTTAATCCTATGGGAGTGGTGGCGTTCCTATGGATGTGGAAAACTCAGTATAGCTGAGTGTAACGCAAACCGTGAATTTTTGTCCGTGTTTTCTGGTGTTCTTTCATCATTATGCAGATGACTGGCTTGGTGGATCATATCAGACGCACTAAGCATGTCCTCCTGGAACCCCGTCATGGCAGAGATGGTGAGTATTCCGCACACGGGGAGGGGTGGGTTGAGTTGACGTGCGGGGCCGTGCACACATGTGTGTGTGTGCGCGTGTGTGTGTGTGTGTGGGGGGGGGGGGGGGTGCGGTCTTCATTGGGCCGAATTCCGTGCCATCCTGCTCTTATTAACGTTTTGCAGTTGCTCTTTGTGCTGGAAAGTGCAAATCTCTCTTTGCATAGTAAGCGGAATCGTTTCAGCCCATTCATTGCTAGTTCTCTGCATTATGATTTATCCACCCAGTGCGGTGAGTACTTCAAGCTACTAGTAAGCTAATCAACCAGCTCCCTTCCTTCGCTTTCCCTGTTGCTGCAGAGTTTGATGCGATGCTCCAGGAGTTTTACGACTCTGTGAATGCAGCTGTTGCTCGTGGGCGTAAGTTGCCGTGAAGTTGCTTATAACAACACGACTCACACAGAAGCATGACTCCTGTAAAAACGCTACTATACGCATGAACATAATTATAGTGAAATGAAATTCCGGAGAATGCAGGCTGTGTGCTGTGAGTGCTCTGTAAAACCGAAGTATAAAGTACTTTGGGTATAGCATCATTATGTTTCTCTTTGCAGCGGATATAAATCACTGTTTTCAGGACCCAGCCTCTTTTCCCCCGTCATTTGTTGGCCTTGGATATACAGTACCCTTGGCTACACGTATTGTCATGCCTCTACCCGGTATCGGTGATTTTGCGCAAAACTTCAGCTTCACTAGAAGCCTAGATGGAACAAAAGCATGACCTTAGCATTGCCATGCCTCTCTAGCCATCGGTGGTTCTGTACAACACGTCAGCTTCATTAGAAGCCTAGATGCAACAAATGCATGATCTTGACATCGTCATATGCAAGAAGGCAGCAATGCCTGTACCTAGGGTGAAGTAAGGCCAAGTAAAACAATTTGATTGTTTATCGTCCGCGCCCGCCCCGATTTTTCGCCCTCCCGGCCGAATTATTTTATTTTTTTATTCCAGTAAATGTACTGTATGTACTGCGATCTATGCCTATACGGCCTCTAATGAACGTGGCTGTAGATCTTGGAAGGCGAAGTCTGCAGATTGAATCATACATGTAGGTGATATCGGTTTGAAAAGGGAAAGATATTATCAGCTGCCTGATTCTCTTTGTTGTCCTACGTTGGTTGCTTCACTTTTCCCTATTTGCATCCTCAAAAGTATCTTGCAAGATGTTATTCGTGGCTGACAATTCATCTGCATCACATGGAGTTATCTCACTCTGTGCAAAACGGCTCCAAAAAAAGATAATTGAAGAAAGAGGCATGTCTAGAGGTTGCGAACACCTACCATACAGCCATACATGTAAAATAAATAATAAAATAAAATACCTCCCGTCTGCCCCGATTTCTCAGGAAAATCGGACGATAAACAATCAATATATTTTGCATGGCCTAAAATAAAGATGACATACCATCTTGTGTATCGTGTGTTGCAGTGCACCATGGTGGCTTGCAAACAGGGGCCCTCTTGTTTGCCGTGTGCCGTGGCAAAGTCAGCGAAGGTCTCGACTTTAGCGATAACAATGCACGAGCTGTGATCACGGTAGGTCTGGCGTCAAGCAGGCGTGTGTGTGTGTGTGTGTGTGTTTGTGTGTGCGTGTGTTTGTGTGTGTGTGTTTGTGTGTGTGTGTGTTTGTGTGTGTGTGTGTGTGTGTTCATGTTGTATGCCGTTGAATCGGGTGACTCCAGCACATGTAAATAAACCTCTTATCATTTTTGCTATTGGTACCTCCAGCAATGAATGCCAACGGCTAAGCATGCACGTGTGTGTGTGTGTGTGTGTGTGTGTGTGTGTGTGTGTGTTCACTCTGCTCTCGTGCGACCCCGTTACAGATCGGCATTCCATTCCCCAACTTCAAGGACAAGCTGGTGGAGTTGAAGCGCGCGTACAACAACGAACAGGTCAACCGCGGTTTGCTGAATGGATCAGAGTGGTATGAGATTCAGGCGTTCAGAGCGTTGAATCAGGTATGCATCTTCCCACCTTGATTCATGCTGTGTGTTGCTGTCTGAATTAGCCATGTTGTAGCCAATTGCAGCAGCTAGTCTTATCTCTCGTCAAGCGTACCAGCTGCGTCAAAATCTAACCTCGTGAGAGACTCTCCGGGCCTGACTGTCCCAGCACAAGAAGGCCAGGCTCTGCATCAGTGATCTCGCCGTTGTTGTATTCTTGAGGTCGGAGATTTCTTACCACAACTGTAGTCCGGTTTATCTATTATCACACCTCTCTCCACTTAGATAATTATTATACCAGCGGTGCCTCCTATTCCATTATCGTTGTCTGATGATTGGTTCAGCCATGAAACTCTGAGTCACAACGGAATTTGCCAAGGTTTTCATTGTGTGCATTTGATGTCCCAAACGTTGCCTTGCTGTTTATTCCATGACTTCATGATTTTCTTAATGTTTGACTGTTTCTCCCTGTCTTCAGGCGCTTGGCAGATGTATTCGACACAAGTAAGCACCTATTGTACTGGTTGGCTGCCGATTGTTCACATGCATATTCGCACCGGAATACAGCCGAAAGACAGGGCGATATGTTTTCCACTTGCATCTATTGACTTTAGCTTGCTGTTCTTAAGTTTGGTGTATTCCCATGCGGCTATGTGAAGGCAACGCTTGTATGGGGTTTGGCTCATACTTTAGTGCATTCACCATCCTTTGCTTTCTTCATGTGCATGTTCTCACTGTGTCCCTCCTTTGGCCAACGCTATCATTTGTGTTACACGATCAGGGCCCAATGGGGTGATTTAGTGCCTGAAACTAGAAAAGGTTACAGCAGAAACAGCCAAGCTTGGGCGACAGACCGTGTCACCGTCATTGCTATATCTGTGCATCGAGAAGATGATGAGGTTGACGAACTGCTGTAACTGTCAGTGAACGTATAGGGTACACGCGAATGCTGTCTCCCTGTGCCTCCGAACGCTGCCATAGGCCCTCACCAATGCTCCGTGTTTGTGTCTGTGTCTGTGTATGTGCTGGACAACAGAGGTGACTGGGGTGCGTTGTTTCTGATCGATGAGCGCTTCCGAATGCGACAGGGCCGCTACGTGAATGGTAAATATCGTGGCATTAACAGAGCACGTTACTGCGGTCTCGTCAAAATCCAGCACCAATATTATTGTGCTACAGATTTAGGGAGGGTGCTGGATTACCAAATCTGATTTATTGGTGCAACGGATATGAAGAGGACATTTTGGTTACTGAAAGTTATGCTGGCTTATTGAGCGTGCTGGTTTATAAAGTGCTGGACGAAAGAGAGACGACTGTGTGGAGCAAACGTGCAGCGTGGATATCACTTTAGGCTGATAGCTAATGGAGTATTCGTGTATTTCTCAGCCACAAGTAATTCTGCTTATTGGACTTTCGAACTTGGCATGGTGTATGCATGTAATTATGCCTTTGTGTATGTGTTTTTGTGTGCCTCACTTGCCTGTTTGCATGTGCTGGCCTTTGGGCCTATGCTTGTGTCCTTATTCCTGTGTGCCTATGCCCGCGTGCTGACTGGTGTGTGTGTGTGTGTGTGTGTGTGTGTGTGTGTGTGTGTGTGTGTGTGTGTGTGTGTGTGTGTGTGTGTGTGTGTGTGTGTGTGTGTGTGTGTGACACTGCTCTGCAGGTTTGTCCAAGTGGGTCCGCGGCTCCGTACACCATGCCGAGTCCTGTCAGAGTGCCATCGGCTCGTTGAAGGACTTCGTCCAGCACCGGCTGCAGTGCGCCGCCGTGGAGGCGGCTGAGACAGCTGCCGCTGAGAAAAGCGAGGGTCTATTCGCTGTCACGCCAGCCACACCGATGGCCAGTGACACCGGTGCCAGCTTTGCCTCTACTCTAACTCCGGGCGCAGCTACTGCTGCTGAAACATCGGCGGCCACTTTAAAGCATGTCTCTGCGTTCGCTCACAGCACTCCACGGGGACCCATGGCGGCGTTTAACCCACCGGCCAGTGTTTCCGTGAAGAAAGAGTGCGATGCAGTGCAAGCACCGCAAGGACCGATGGCAGCTTTTAACCCGCCAGCCAGTGTTTCCGTGAAGACAGAGCCCGGTGCAGTTCCTACCCCGTCGACGATGTTGACTCCGTACTGTTTTGTGCGCGACGCGAACATCCGCCTGAAGCAGGCGTACGCGTCTGAGCCTGCACCCTGCAAGCCCGTGCAGCCCTTGGACCCAGCCAAGTGTACACCGCTTCTAGCTGATCACGCCTACTTTTCCACATTGCCTCAGGTGGTCGACACCCACAGTAGGCCGGGAGCTGCGCAGTCGACTTCGACCGGCCCTACCGTGTTTGGTGGTATGCTAACGAGCAATGCCGGCAACGAGATGGATTGTGCGCCAGCTGTCGCCAATGAAGCCGACTCGACGTTGATGGATGATGACACGCTTACGCCAGACTATGTGCCCTCGCCTTGCCGTAGTCCTGTTAACCATCAGCACACGACGGCACCAGTGGCGGACGCTGACAGCACGGTTTCGGCCATTCCGTCGCACTCCTCTTCGGACGCACCGGCCACAGCGACCGGCGTGGCAGAAGCCAGTGGATCGCCGGATGCCCCGCGGCAGTCCCCTGTGAAGCGAAGACTCGGTACGGGCACCCGGGCCGTGAAGCTTGCAGCACACTTCCAGTCGCCGGTCAAGTCACCTCTACGTGCTGAAGCGGCTTCTGCACAGTCTCCGCGTCGAACTGAGCCATCTGCCGTGCAATCTATCTATCCGGTACTCACGGGTCAGGACCACCAGCAGCAGCAACAGGCTGGTCGCACTACTGCCACGCCAAGCTATGCTGCTGCGTCAGTGAGCGGTGGAATGTGCGGGCATGCCTCCACCGTTGCACAGCAGGCTGTCGCTGAGACATCGAGCACCACGACTAGTGCCTCTAGCATATACCCATCACTTGCATCATTGCACTCTGCTGCTGTACTGGCGACAAGCAGCTGCAGTCCACCGGCTAGCCGTGGTGCAGCTACTTGTTCATCCAACACCCACACCGTTCATGCCGGTCTCTTTCAGGCTCAATCAACCCCTGGGGCCAACCGCCTCGGATCCAGGAACGTTCTGCCCGCTCCTGCTCGTACCGACGAGATCGAGATCAGCGATTCCGACTCTGACTCGGACATCATCGAGAGCAGCCAGAAAGCGCAGCTTTCGCCCGGGACCGCCGTCATTCCCGAATCACCGCCACTTCTCGGAAACAATAGTGATTCCGATTCTGACCTTCCTCCAGAAAGTGGGGTGCTTGCTCCTGGGAGTCGGCAAAGGACGATGTCCGAACAGGAGCGGCTGCAGCAAGAAGAAGATGACCTTCTTGTTCAGCTGACCCAGGAAGCAGAAGCCAGCTTGAGTATGAGCGACAGCAGTGCCATCCTGTCGCTACCACCGTCACCGAAGCCCACCGCCATTGCAGGCGGCAGTGTGTACGGTGGTCTGTGCACTAAGCGCCGCAACACGCGCATCTGCCCGAGCAAAGGCGTTGCCACCACTACGCAGGGCCTGGCCGCTTCGAGTGCTGCCTCCCTGCCACCGACTGCGGCACTGACTGCAGCAAGCGCTGGGATCTCTACACGTGGCACTGCCACTGAGATTGGTAGCTGTGTCACTGCTACTTCTAGCAGACATGAGGTAAGAATGGTTCCATACTTCTTGGTTTGAAATGGCCTGAAGACAGGTCAGTTGGACACACACACACACACACACACACACACACACACACACACACACACACACACACACACACACACACACACACACACTTCGAAATACACTGCAAATCCTAGCCAGCTTCGTGATACCTGGAGACGTTTTTCATGGGTACAGGAAGTGATTACAGGTGAACAGGTGATTGTACCTTTAGATCATAGAGATCACAGAAAACTAAACTAAGGTCCATTTCAAAAATATGGTATCTTTGAAATATTTCAATTTTGGCTGGAGCATTTTGAGAATTTTTTGGAATATTGCTCAGGCCCTTCCCCCAATTATTCTCATACAATTTTTTCATTAATCGGATAGCTAACGCCCAATTTCGAAATTTTTATGCACAAAGTGATCACAGATTTTATGTGCAATAGTCTAATGTTTTTTTGAAATCATGCGTCTATATTTTGAAACGCACTGTACATGTATGTAGTGCATGGTGAACAGGTCCCATGGCCTTTTTGTACTACCATGAATAACCTCTATAACAGTGGTTCTATCCGCGTACAGAACTGTTTCGTCCTTTGCGGACTCACCAGCGCAGCACTAACAGTGGTTCAATATCAGTACTTGGCCATCAGCCGGTACAAACCTTGATTTCTACATGTTTAGTAGAAACTACTTGAAGTGGAAATTAGTCGCATCCAACTTCTGTGCATGTGTACGCTGCACCTCCTTTTTCAGCTCTCTGCCATAGGTTTTCAATGTGTTCACTTGAGCCAAGTCTTACTCTTAGGCTGGGAGGGTTTGATCATGTGACTCATCATGGTCATGTGACAAGTGATCTAGTTATGTGCTGTTTCTGATTTCTGCCTCAGGCCATGATGGATGTTCCATCGGCAATGGTACCTGTGTTGTGCCGCAGGTGTAGCACACACATTGCGCTGACTTGGCGACAAGGTATGTTAATGCTCGACTAGGCTAATCCCCATTTCTGTTGTAAGCTAGTCATATGATTAAAATTTTTGTGTATGACCTTCCCTCCCCCTCCCCCCCCCCTTTTAGTGCCTTTTTCGTCGTGTTTGTGTATGATGTACAGAGTGTAACACAGTGCTGCTCGGTGAAATCCGATTCCATGAGGCATCCAATGCCGGGTGATGTGCAACCCCAGATTTGCAAACACTGGGCGGTGCACTCTGGTCTAGGGTACCACCGGAGTACTGGGTGCTCACTCATTCGTGAGATCGTGTTTCACTGGGCTGCACCGCAGTTGCACTCACTGCAGTCCATGGCTTGTGTAGGCAGCAGCAGCAGCAGGAGGATTGATTAGTACAACTCTGTGAGGGGCAATGACCCGGCCCTTGTCAATGATAAGCAACCAACCAGGGATTATTCTGACCAATACCAGCACTGTTGTACAGTCAACTTTGCGTATAACGACACTCGGCGGGGCATCAGAAAAGTGTCCATATTCGTGAAGTGTCGTTATACCCGAAGTCTCATTATATGTGTTACAGTTAGATGGGGCTTTGCTCTGGGCATGGACATTCTGTCGTTATTCGCGAATTGTCGTTATATCCTCAGTCGTTATTAGCGAAGTTGACTGTAGACAGCACATTCCTATTCTCTCTAACACTGTTACCCTATTCCGTACAGATGAGGAGCAAATGCACAAGGAGAATCTGAAGCAGATTCCGCCCGTGTTCAATGACTGGCTCCAGTCGAAATCGCCAGCAAGCCGTTCGCCCAGTGCAACCAAGCCTGGTGGCACAAGGACGCGTGGCAGTAAAGCAGGCGGTGGGAAGTGCGGCTCGGCTTCTGATGCCATTCGTGCACGGCCATTATCCACCGCTGCTGCCGGTGGTGGAGTTAACGGTGCACTGCGTCCTTGGACACATGCTGATCAGTCGTCAGGTAGGCAAATAACTAGAACTACAAATACCATAGCTGTTTATTTGATCTGTTAAAGTTGGCATGGAGGGGAGTCTTTCTCTGTAATTGCAGGTCCGTTGTGATCCCCACTGCATCTCCACTGGTCTGGAAAACAGACGCTTACTCCCTATATTTGTGTGTGTGTGTGTGTGTGTGTGTGTGTGTGTGTGTGTGTGTGTGTGTGTGTGTGTGTGTGTGTGTGTGTGTGTGTGTGTGTGTGTGTGGTGTGTGTGTGTGTGGTGTGTGTGTGTGTGTGGTGTGTGTGTGTGTGTGTGTGTGTGTGTGTGTGTGTGTGTGTGTGTGTGTGTGTGTGTGTGTGGGTGGGTGATGCGTGTGATGCGTGCACGCGTGTGTATCCTCATCATGCTGCTGCTGTGTTTACAGACTGCATCCTGGCTAAAGACATGCAGGTCACTCTTCAGCCGCTCATGTGCAGTGCATGTGCTGCTGCACAATCGACTGCTAGCTCCAGTCTCCGGACTCGACGAGCAGCGGCTGCTGCTAAATCCTCTGCTGGCACGCAGCAGGCACCACTGGCGGTGGGCTTCAGGTGTTTGCCTCTGCAGGGTAGTAGCAGTACGGGTGGCAGCTCTAAGGCACTCTCTACACAAGAGGTAAGACTTCTGTTCTTGCATTGAAGAGGCTCGCTGTGTGCACTATGACAGTGGATGTCATTGTGTAGTCTTTGAAGCCAGGGTGCCGTTTCGGCCCTGAAGAGTTGTTCAGGGCAACTAACTTGTGTCGACTCAGTTTGTCACCTTGGCAGACGGAGTCTTCTGTGCGTTGTAGCGTGAAGTTGGTGCGTTGGTATACTGTAAGACATGTTATTATAACGAGTCGCAAATTTAACGATTGTCCAAAATTCATAGGTTAACGAGAAGATATGTTAACGATCTTGCAGTATTCTGCCATATCCACACACAGCATATATGAAGCAGTACGGCTTCAACGGATCTTATTACAACGAAGAAATGTCATCCGTTAAAACGTTAGATTAGCTTCCTCGTTATATATACATGTCTTACAGTATACTGGTACGGTATGTATTTCTTCCTCCTGCTCTCGGTCTTTTTGTGTAGCGTTCATTTTTCTCTTCCACTGCTAAGTTTATTTGGGCTATTGCTGATATTTCTTCTGTGCACTTTTTGAATTCTGTTTCAGCTGTGGCTGCTTTCATCGTGTTGCACTTCATGAATGGCTAACTCCAATCTCTGTTCTCACCATCGCTTCTAGTACTCTATGCTAGCAGTTTCAGATGTGCGTGCGAGCTCTGCTGCAGCGTAACACATCAGATGCCTTGCGATCGCGTATTGACTCGAGCTGTGTAGATCTACTGTACTTAGAGCGGATCTCGCGGCACACCGTGCGTAGTCAGTTGTGAGTCGGCTCTGAGCGACGCGTATCTTGACTTGAGGCTTCCAGGTGTCGCGGCAACTCAAATCTGCGGTGTCCGACTGAACAAGTGGATGATGTGAGGTCTGTGTGTTTCTTTTTTTTTCTCGTGGGAATCCGTTGGATCCATTGTTCTTGTGTAGCTTTTTATGTGATTCGGTGCTGGGCATTGATCATTTTCATTATGCCGTATTTGTTGTGGCTATCATAGTAACGTTATGCAGCCTGACGCATGCGTGCTGGTACTCTTGACAAGGTTACTGGCCGCGCATCCGCACCAGCCGCGTAACTCCTTTCTTCTTGTATTCAGCGCTAGCCTGCTCAAGCGGCGTTAGTTTTGAACAATGCTTACTACTAGTAACCTCCTGTGCTAACCCCATACTTCCTCACCATGTCACCATGTCACCGGGCTTCGCTGTGCGCAAGCTTCTTCTATTTTGTTTCTTACTCCGTTTTGATGCTTTTGATGCGGTTTTGATGCTGCAAACATGTATTCTACCACAGGTGTACAAGATATTTTACAAGTAACTTGAAGATAGTGCTCTTGCTGTACAGTACCGATACATATCTCTCCGGGCACTGCCCATAAATTGGAATGTTCGTGCATGTGACTCTGAATCGCAGTCATACATGCAATAGGCCCATTGCGTATTGCCAAATATGGATAACATGAGTAATGCATGTGAGTACACTGGGATCAGCAATGCACTGTTCAACACTCCAGACGGCCATGCCCAGGTGGCTGTGTGGGGTGTTATGTGAGTACACTGGGATCAGCAATGCACTGTTCAACACCCCAGACAGCCATGCCCGGGTGGCTGTGTGGGGTGTTCACGGTACTTCAAGTACAAATCACGTCGTTGCGCGATGGGCTTAGGAAAGGGTCAGAGATCTGGAATACGACATCACTGCTTCCACTAAACATTGGCGAAGGAGTAGTAGATCTACTATTTCCACTAAAGCTCACCCACAGGGTACCTGTAACTTCGAGGTCCAGATCAGAGAGATATGAGTTCACCAGAGAGTTGTACACACCCTAAACATAACCCCTAACCAGTACTTCTGGCATAACCCGTTGCTCTTGCTCGATAAGAGCGGCCGGCAACCGTCCGTCGACCCAGAAACACACTCAAGCACTCACACTCGTCGACCCAGAAACACACTCAAGCAGGAGAGTAATACGTCAAAATATTATTAACATGTACATGAGGCATCAAGCATGCAAAAAGTTGGTCAAGACAACACAAAACCAGCAAGTTCTATCAATGCATATAATTATATCATGAGCGTTCCATGAGCAGATATGTCTGCTGGTTATTCAGCCATGCTGAGCAAAGCAGTAGCAATACATGAGCTTACTGGAGCAATCATGCCGAAAGTCCAATACCATCAATGTACATGTATGTACAAAAGAGGATCAAAATTATATACATGTTCTGTGTGCATGCAATGTGTGCGCGTGGTATGCAAGCGTGCATGCGCGTGCATGGGAGGGGGGGGGGGGTATATATGTACATGGCGCTATGTACAGGGGAGAATGGAGAGCTACCTCCGGGGGGAGCAAGTGAGCTACGGCTCACTTGCGGTCGGGCGTCTCCACGCCATACTTCTTCTTGACGTCGTCCAGCTGTTGCTTCTTCTTCTCCCGGTCCTGAGCCTTGTTCATCTTGGTTGGCTGGTAGTACAGCACTACCAGGTAGCGGTTGCAAACGTTGAAGCCAGACAGATGCTCGCAGGCGTTCTTAGCGTCGAAGATGTCCTCGTAGATGACAAACGCTGTGCCCTTCGTTTCCGCACCGGTGCCACTGCACAAAGACAAGAAGCACGTGCGAGAAACCCCCGGTTGAGACCCTGTACATAGATAGCACTGTCCACATCCAGAGTGTGTACTAAAGGTTACTACAGTCCTGCTTATTGAAATCCAGTTGCGAGAGTCAAGTTGGCGCCTTGCACCATTTCGCAACCCAGTGTTCGCAGGTCTAGGGCTGCGCAACGCCCGGCACGTACGCGACTGGATTTCATTGAGCTTGCACTGTAGTATTCAAGTCGTCGCAGTACGAGCTGAACAAAATCTCAACCGATTCCCGTACTCTGCAGCACATGTACTTCCCGTGTACACCTCTGGAGACAACTGCTAGAGGAAATTATTGAACACAGCTGCGTGAACACAAGGTTGATCCTAACTCCTACACACACACAACCATAGGCACACCAAGACTGACACGCACAGAGATGTACTGCAACCATGTTAACTTACATGCGGATCTGACGAATGGCACCATACTTGCCAAAGATGTCGTACAACTCTTCCGTTGTGATCTTATATGGCAGGTTGCTGAGCAAACAAAAAGTGATCAAGGGAAGAGCAGGAAGATAAATGTAAGTATACGGGTGGATAGTTTTTGGAACGGCTACACTAGAAAGAGAAAGAGAGAGAGAGGGAGAGAGAGAGAGAGTGTGTGTGTGTGTACTGTGTAGAGACATTTTCAGAGCAAAAACTTACCGGACGTAGAGGATCCGATTGACTTCTGGCGGTAGCCTCACCTGTAAATAAAATAACACACACACACACACATCGGATACTATTAGTAAATGCGTCAAAAATCAGAAGTTTTCTCACTTTTCTGTTGTTTTTTCTGTTGTTTTTTTGCTACAAAGTGCCAGTTAGACGGGACAAAATTCTTAGAGGAGACACAGCAACCAGGCTGCTAGGGCAAGGATTCATGACTGAGCTCTGAACTAAGTAGTTATCCAAAGCTATTCGCATTATCCAGAGGAAGGGAATCGTGTCCAGAAATGTAAAAAAGTTCAGCGCAATTTTTACCACCGGTATAAGTGTGAGAATCGCTAACACCTGGATAGAGCGTTGTCAGTCGACAAAGCAGTCTTTCTCCGAATCAAGCACCACGGTAGACTTCGTCAACTATTACATGTACTTCTTAGTGTACCCAAGATACCAAAGACATGTAACTCGGTTAGCAAGAGATGGAACAGTTCCCTGAAAATTCGAATGCTACAACATAAAAATAAATTCAAGGAGCATCATCGTTTTCTTACATTCGTCCGTCTCGCTGCTTGCATGGCCATGTTGACAAGGGATTCCCTCAGCAACACCAGTCCAAGAGATTTCGAAACTCAGTAAGACACACGTCTCAAAACACCTCAAGCCTCAAATATAGATGAGCCAAAGAAACAAAGTTTCGCCAACTCTTGATGATGTCCGACTCACAACAACAAAAAAACTGCGAGGCAACACCATGTCAGTCCATACGCCAAGACCGAAAAAGTCGTCTAAAAGTTGTACTTTTTTATGCAGATTAGCCACTTTTCCGAGCTGAATATATTCAAATCTTCGTTGAAAAATTGTCAAGAAAATGTTAGATGTCTCGAGTCGTTTGCAATTTTCTCTCCATCAGTGCTCGTTTGCGGAAGTTTTGCTTTCCGGACACCTTGATCGGGCCTTTGACCTTATGGATGTCAGTTGTAGTGGTCGTTACTCATTGTCTCGACGTCGCTGGGAGTGTTCTTGTGGGAGCTGTCGAATATTCGTAAAAATCAGGCAAGTGGCAAAGAAAAATTCGCCAAATTTTTGGGCAAGATAGTATGTAGACATCGATGCTTTCCTTTGACTCTCCACCGATGTGGAAACACTTCCAGAAGCGTTCATCGGTGTCCGGTTCTTGATAGGGTCGTGGTGGCCTCCACGGTTTGGAACAAAACAAAATCAATGCATTGTCTGTTGTCACCAGTGGGAGACGTATTACATGGCAAAGAAACGCACCAGCACCCGTATTCACTCTTGAGGGGCCTGAGATAGAAGCCCACATCATCTTCGTTCAAATGACAAAGTTCTAACCAGGGTCTGCAGACCGCAATTTCAATGTCATTTTTTGGTCCCTTAAAAAATGGCCTAGCCAATAGCCTGTATGTAGTTTATGAAGCATTGGCGTGTTCTTCGGGTTTGCAATCATGTTATATTACTCGTGAACTTCTCTTGTAAGATTCGTGCGAAACTGAAAGTTGTAATGTACTCTCAGGACAGCTTGAAGTAGGTTTCAATTCTCAGTGAAGTGCAAAGGTCTTAAACCGTCATTGTGAATGTCAATGAGAATATGATCCAAGAGTCCACAACCCCAAGGGAAATGTGTGATGGACTCTTAGTATGATCTGTGCACAAAGAACTGCAGTTGAGGCATTGTTTTAGCAATATGGCTGCGTTCTGAGTTTTAGCACATTCTTACTCGTAGACTCATATTGTACTGGAGTGTGCACTTTATAACACGTGTACATGTATAACAAAAGCTGAATTATAGAACGGTAGAAAATGATATGCCCCATTCTCAGCTTTGGTTTCTGGCGTTCTTTTAATTATTAGTATTTCAGACTGCGTATTCTTGGGCTCCGTGTTCTTTAAAGGGGAAGCTAAAGGGGAAGTATACCCTAAAATCAAATTTTCACCAGTTGTAGTCTTCGGGGTGCTGAGTCGAATGGTCTTGGTCCGAGGAAGCTGAGACGCTCCCTTCCTCCTTTATTCCCAATCGAACTCGCGCACTTCCACCGAAACTGGGTGACTGCGCCCTACTAGATAGGGATTTGTATGGAAAAATCACTAAAAGCGCCGTTTCGTTCTTATAAAAGCGCGGATGACCGCGATTGGTCCATGTGTTGTAGTCTTTTGGCCGCTGAGTCGGCTGGTTTTGGTCCGAAAAGGCTGCGATGCAGCGTTCGGCCCTTACTCCCAAACGAACACGGTTGAGTAAGCGGTCACGTGCTCACTTACAGCCTGTTTGGGCCCGTTTATGTCACTCGAGTTGAACCTTTGAACCAGGGAGTCGCAAAAGCCTCTTACGTCTCCCTGCTTTGAACCTTTGAGTTGAACCTTGATGTGAAAATTGTAGCCTGCAGGCACGGTGACCAGGCGGCTGGTGTACGCATGAGCACGTGACCGCTTACTCCACCGTGTTCGATTGGGAATAAGGCCCGAACGCTGCATCGCAGCCTTTTCGGACCAAAACCAGTCGACTCAGCGGCCAAAAGACTACAACATATGGACCAATCGTGGTCATCCGCGCTTTTATAAGAACGAAACGGCGTTTTTAGTGACTTGTTCCATACAAATCCCTATCTAGTAGGGCGCAGGCACCCAGTTTCGGTGGAAGTGCGCGAGTTCGATTGGGAATAGGGAGGAAGGGAGCGTCGCAGCTTCCTCGGACCAAGACCATTCGACTCAGAGGTGACGAGCAAGTCAAGGACAAAATACTGACAGTGCCAACTCATATACACTTAGCTGCCATCCTCTTGAAACATACAAGTACACTGTGTACAGAAATGTGGGTAGAATGATCTGAAATGATATGCTAAACAGTCTTATTTCGTCTACCAGAGCAAGTGCATGTGAGTGATTGCTATATCCTCCTTCTGTAACCAATACAATGTAGATCAGGGAGTCGTGGCACACGTGGAGACGACACAAGCAATTGTAACGTTAAAGGGGAAGTTAAGGCAAAAATCAAAATTTCACCAGTTGTAGTCTTCGGGGTGCTGAGTCGAATGGTCTTGGTCCGAGAAAGCTGAGACGCTCCCTTCCTACTTGAATCCCAATCGAACTCGTGCACTTCCACCGAAACTGGGTGACTGCGCCCTACTAGATGGGGATTTGTGTGCAAAATGTCACTAAAAGCGCCATTTCGTTCTTATAAAAGCACGGCGGACCGCGATTGGCCCATATGTTTTAGACTGGTTTTGGTCCGAAAAGACAGCGATGTAGCGTTCCTTCTTTACTCCCAATCGAACATAGCTGAACAAGTGGTCACATGCTCGTGCGTACACCAGTCACCTGGTCACCGCGCCAGCAGGCTACAATTTTCACACCAAGGTTCAACTCAAACGTTCAAAGGTTCAACTCGAGTGACAGAAACTCGCTCACAAACGTACTGTAAGTTGTAGCCTGCAGGCATGGTGACCAGGTGACTGGTGTATGCACGAGCACGTGACCACTTGTTCAGCCATGTTCGATTGGGAATAAAGGAGGAACGCTGCATTGCAGCGTTTTCGGACCAAAGCCAGTCGACTCAGCATCCAAAAGACTACAACATATGGGCCAATCGCGGTCATCCGTGCTTTATAAGAGCGAAATGGCGCTTTTAGTGACATTTTGAATACAAATCCCCATCTAGTAGGGCGCAGTCACCCAGTTTCGGTGGAAGTGCACGAGTTCGATTGGGAATAAAGAAGGAATGGAGCGTCTCAGCTTCCTCGGACCAAGACCATTCGACTCAGCACCCCGAAGACTACAACTGGTGAAAATTTGATTTTAGGCTTAACTTCCCCTTTAACGAGACTCTGCTGTACATATAATGTAAAGAACTGTGCCCCTGTCAATTTCTACCTGTAAACAACTTGAGCACATACACCGGAATACAGCGCTGAACCAATACAATTATCACGACTATGCACTTGGACCACATGATAGTACATTCGGGGGGGGGGGGACTTTACATTATTTCACTTGCAAACACATTGAACGTTACATGCGATTTCGATTCCTTCACTGTAGATCTACATAAGAAAAGGAACAAAACAGCCGAGCTGCAGCATGCATTCTTGATCAATAATCTGGCACACCCTGGTTTCAGTCAACCAGATGGTAGCAGCTAAAAGTGCTTATAGCCGAGACACAGGCAGGAAGTGCTATATGTGTGCTTTCTTTTCCATCTCCATCACAATGAGGAAACTCAATACAAGTGTAGATTGCCTCTTTTACGGCCAAAGAAACACAGTGTATGGTGAAGAAAGTGTCCTAAGGCCGAGAAAAGGAAATAGCTAAGTAATAGGAATGGTAAAGCTACTATATAAAAAAGACTGAAACCGAACCCTTTAAACAACTTCCAGCTAGTATGTGACATAAAAGTCAGTTAGGTTCAACACTATGCCAGTGGATGGCAGGGCAGTGCCCAACTTCGATGCCAGCCAGCCACGTCATGGACAGACGCACCAATGAGATGATGGTTAGGGATAGTCGGAGGCGAAAGTTAACCACAACTTGGAAGAACGGCGAAATTGTGTACAGCTACAAACAGGATCCGGGAACACAAGCTTTCGGTCAAAGGGAATGAATTCTACACGAGCATCTTGAGAAAAGCACATGTGTCATTCCCCATACTTCACAGTCTAGCCAGCACCAGCATTTACACACTGAATGTCGGCATAAGATAGAGTGACCAAATTAGGAAAACATCACCAGGCCTGGCCATCAAACAGAAGACTGTTTTCAAGAGCCACATGGATCTGTATGCAGTGACCATGACCATGATACTCGATAGGCACTTGGATACCCATATGTGCACAGAATATGATTGGAAAAACCTCAACCAAGACAGAGGCACTGAAAATCTGTCTCCAGTGGCTTGTTTAAACACGGCTACGAATCCCACCAGAACAAACTCACACAATCCACTACAAACGAGCTGAAAATGGTCAGCGTGCTGTGTTCGAAACGCTGGACCACATTCCTCGGCAAAGGACATCACGGGTGTGCACGTACTCTTAACCAGTTCAGCCGTGCATGGGATGTGACAGTATTGCCTGTGACGGAACAGCTTGAAAAAGAACGAGACAATCCCTCTAGTAACTGCATATGGCACATTTCACACGGCATATCCTTGGCCTGAGAGTACACCATGACGATTGTCCCTTCATTTCTCTGACCAGTTGGGTCCACACTTGAGGTCCATAATCAAGATGGAGAGCAGCCAGCTTGCTCTATAGGAACGCATGCGACAATGTTCAGTAGACGGCATAATCCTGACTCCTGCATGGACAAAAACAAAATGAAAAGCCACACCAAGTCATAAGCATCGGGACTAGTATACAAGTAAACCACTACAATGTATTCTGAATGCAATTGAACCTCAGAACATAAGCTATACCCCTGGCAACTGCATACTCTCGGTGGAAACTAATTCAAACTTCACAAAACGGGGTTTCCAGTACGTTTTGAACTCAACATCCCTAACGAGTAATCTATAACGTAACGATTATGAAGTTGATTGTAAGGAATTATTGATCAATGACCGAGTAATCGGTATAATCGTTTCAGCCCTACTTGTACTTCATAGGTGAACCCAATCTCACGGGCCACGACACGCTGATACCACCATATGCCATTTTTACAGGGTTTAATGCGCAGCTTCCGCATTCCATACTGGTAACACAACTACAAGCACATGCGCGTGCCTCTATGTGAGACCAATCGACCTGCAAAAGTTACAAATACGGCAAAAGCGTGTGTATAAGCGCATGGGCCATTACGATATGGTCCTCTTGTCAGCGTCTGTTCACTGTAATGCTGTCTTTTTTTCTTGGCTTACGGGGCAGGAATATCTCAACAGGAATGTCCCCGTTGTGTTGGTGATGTGCAAGCGGCGTGGGTCGGCTAAGAGTGCAGTGTGGAATAGTGGAGTGAGTTAATTCACCGAGAAACGATGAAAGTAATAATTGCGCCCGCCAAACACCATGAGACTCCAGAACATGTTTTTGTCTATGGAGTAATTAAGAGTGCATACATACTTATTTAATTCTACCCAAATTCCTATGACTACCATGTATGAACTGCGAAATCGGGTGAAGTGCCTCAATGGACATCGCTCTGAACTACAATTTTGACCCTCGTTTGCAGCTGATCTGAGAACGCGATCAGCCTTTTGAAGTGTATCTGTTCACATTCAAAACACCTATTAATATTTGTAACATCGTAAATAATTGTTCTCAAGTTTACGAGAAGAAAATCAGAAATCCATCAGCCATACCAGTTTTCGTGATTCTCGTGCATTGGCAACTAGGGCATTAGGAAAAATTCGCCAAATTTTTGGGCAAGTTACTATCAAGATAATTTTTGCTTTATGAGCAGCCTAGGACAATGGACTATACATACCTGAGGTCTGGGCGGTGTCCGGTAGTTCTTTTTTGGTTCTCACGCCATCAAGTATTTTGGCATCCAAAAATCATAAATTCTGGACGACGCAAAATTGAGAAAAGTGGCTCTGCTGCAACATGACGGAAAAATCTCTGGCGGAACGGCTTCCAGATTTTGTTTAGGGACTATCCTAGCCCTCAGCAGGCCAAGTTATAATAGCATTCATGAAAGTCTTCCATGCCAAATCGACGACGATCAAAATGGTGATTCTGCTCAAAATTGGTCACAGAAAAAGTCGAAAAAAGCGGCGTCGTCATCTTCATTTTGCATAAAGATTCGGCTCATTTTTGGCCCTTGGCGCATGGACTGATGTACCAGCAGACTGTGCAGCCAACGACAACGTCACGATCGGCAATCGTGCGTCATCAGAATGATCATGCTCATAATTTCGTGACGTCATGCACCATGAAGGAAATATTTTTGCCAAAATGTTGTTTTTGATGAAATTTCATACTTTTTGAGTTGATACTGTAGCTGTTATCCAATTCCAAAGTATGAATTTAGAATTATTTACTCGAGACACAATACTGTAGACATTACATGGTTCTGATATCCAAGATCGCTTGATGCTAAAGCTAGAGAGTCGCATCGATAGTTCTGAGAATAGAGGGCGTTTTCAGAAATGGGCACCCCGGTAAAGGTAAGCAGAACATGAATGATAGTATTGTATTTCAGAATTCTCATACTCGTATCTGTGTGTTTGACTCGATTCTCGAAGTCGGCGTGAGCCATCTGATGTTTCTTTTGTGCAATGCTGCCGCAATAGGTAAAGCGGTGGTCCAAGACCGACCGGGGAATGAAAGCCGAGGAAAAACTGGATGAGAATCTGTACGACTTGGAAGCATGGAATGTCCTAATTAGGGAAGCTCAGGTTAGTAACCTTTTGGAAAACTACTAGTATGCAGGAACTGGCTGAGTCTGCTTCGTCCCAGTAGCAATTCATGGGATTTCAAAGTCTTCGGATGAGGAACTCTGCAAGCAAACATTAGTCTTGGCTTACGTGACACGACACAGAAAAGGCCAATGTAAAAAAGCTGTTCAACTTTAAAACAACCACAAGCGAATTAATGAAACTGCATATCATGACCTATATAGCTGGCTCCACCAATCCCAATGTCCCGTGAAATTCCCCTCACACGTGTCATGTATCTATTCCCACCGGATGATTCGATGTGATTCTTTCCGCGGTGGCTAGGGAGCAACACGATTACATTGTCGTAAATACACAAGTGCAGTAATGTGCCTTGACAAAATCCGCCCCAAAATTTCTAATCTAAATCATCTAAGTGTTCGGAGGATCCGGCAACAGAAGGCATGCACTGGTAAATATCCGTTCTGAGAAAGAATTTGAACACTTGAACTGAATAGAATACCATTCGGCCATACTCTAATTTCAGAAATTTTCGGTGCTCAATATTTTCGGTATGAGGGCAAAAGGCCAGGTTAGGTGAACAGAAATTTTCGGTACAGAGAAGAAGTTCCCCATTGTATACTATTAAGTGTGTTGAAATTTTAGGTATGAAACAGATGCACCGAAAGTACCGAAAATAAAAGTACACCGAAAATTTGTGAAATTACAGTATTCGTTGATTTGGCAGGATTTGACTAACTGTTTCTTTGCTCTGTGCTTGATTGTGTGCAGTCTGGCATGATTGAAAGAGGCCGGGAGCTGTACGAGCGTCTGCTCAAGGTCTTCCCGCTGTCCGGGCGCTTCTGGCGGACTTACGTCGAGCATGAGGTTGTAGTGAGACTTGTGCTGGCTTGTGATAACGTTACTTGTTATAATAATAATACCGCAGCAGAAGAACATTGCTTGCCGCCGTTGTGCACGATGCCATTATTTTGTCCTGCTCCCGATGCACGGCTGGCTTCATGCCTGCGCTCTTGCACGCGTTGCAATTGGCCTCGTATACTACACGCAGTAGCTGATGTGAGAACTGCAGACCTTCCGTTCACAACGTCGGCACCGAGCACTGGCTGGGAGTTTGTCTTGCGGGCTTTTTGTTGCTGGTGCGTGTGGCCAGAGGGGGAGTGGGGGAGGCATGTGACCAGAGGGGGAGAGCAGGGGGGATGGGGGGGGGGTAGCGAGGGGCGTGTGGCCAGAGGGGGAGCGGGGGACGTGTGCTGCATGCTCTGCTCTCTTAAAGTGGCACTGCGTGTTCGGAGAATTTCAGGACCACAATGAAATTTAGTGTTTACCGCCAATGTCGTAATACTGGTCATGGGCCAGCACTTGGCGAAACACCGTGTGTGTGTGTGTGTGTTTTATGATCAAGGGAAATGGGGTTTCCGATTTGTTCCCACTCATAGGCTGTTTTCGCACAGGCAATACTCGAAAAGCGCAGTGTTGATAGGAAACTCCTATTTTATATCTACTTTTCATGCCGCACCAAACGCAGTTCCCTGCAGTTTTTGCCGAAATTTGAACTTGCCGTGGATATGTAACGGTGATATCATCCTAGGAACAGCTAATATGCCCTTTAAAGTTTATAGAGGCAGTGAGCTTACACTCTACTGCTCTTGCCTCACAGAATGGTCAAGTATTGACGTGCACGCATCGTCTGGTGGCCTAAGCCTGAGGCGATTGGAGCGTGTACAGGAAAAACAGCATTGTGCCTCTCACTGTGACAGCTTACTCGAATGCTACAGAAGTTTTTTTCGGGGTGGATGACATGTCACGAATGTGTGCTGTGTGATGGGACATGGTGGATGTGACTTTATTCCGCCATGGCTTCTGCAGGCTACGTGTTCGAACGGGCTCTTTTTTATGGGTAGTTTGCATGGTTGCATTTCCTATTCACAAAGGAGCAACTGTGAAACTACACATCCCATGACTTGTTCATGCCATGTGAACCTTTATTCGCCCGAAATTATACCTTCTTGGTAGGACTTTTCCTTGACCGCGATTCTTTGTGAAGGGCCGCTTTCATGCAGTGCATCAGCTTCCACCGACCATGCTGATGTGGAGGAGACCATCGGAGGCATTGATCTGGATCATGTTGTCTGCCCACAGTCACTTTCCTTCCCACTCTTCTAATAGTTTCCTCCAATCTTGTCTCTTTTGTTATGTATGGCTAATCGAATGGTTGTTGTGTCATTTCTTTACTTTACTGCTTCATTCTTTCTCTCCCTGTCTGTTTTGATCTTATTTCTTTGTCTCATGTCGTCGTTCTGAAGGGGTCATGAGCATTCATGCCTTCAATAAAATGGCTGTTCTAGTTTTTTTTCCTGCGCCAGTGCGGCTCGCTGCACTCGGCTGTCATGTGACGGTTCCGCCTGTTGTGTTTTGCGTCTGTGCACGTGTGAACCGTACGGCTTCTTGTGGCGCGTGTTGGTGTCTCTTTCCTCCCCCCTGTCGTCGTCGTCGGTGTAGATGCGATGTCATCAATTTGAGCAAGTTGAAAAGGTACGATTGATGGCTGCATGATGTGTGCTGTGTTGTGGGTTTGTGCTTGAGCGGGCTGGTATGTTGATAACTGACAACCACTGGACGGTTGTAGTGTGTTGCATGGAGAGTTTGGGGTGGTGCGGGCGAGGGTTCCGATTCAGAAATGGATTGGGTGCATGTTCTTATGTGGCTCTTTGCGTGGTGCATGACTATGCATGTTTGTGCATGTTTCCTTGCATGCTGCATGAGTTCCGATAGGCAACGTATCATGTTAAGTCTGTTCCTGCTGCGTGCATTCCATTGCGTTGCGGTTCTGCTGGCTGTTTGTGTGGGGCTTGCTGTCTGGACTGGCTCTGCTTGGCGTTATGGTGTGGCGGTGGCATTGGGAGGGCGATTGTGCATAGTATTTGGGTGCATGCTGCATGGTCTATTGTGGTTGTAAGGTAGAATAGGTGTGTGCTTTTGGTTCGGCATGGGGTGTATTGCCTGAAGTCTGTTTGCTGTTCCCTAATCTGCTATCTAGCACATACGCCATGTCTTCTTGTCAGTGCGCTTGTTCCACAAGCTTTGCTTTTGTATTCTGCACATCGCCAGTCTTGTAGAAATGTCTCGCAATGTATATACGGGCAATCAAGCACCGGACAATGTTCTGATCTATTCTTAGCTGCTCAGTCTCTTGAAAGCACTCTTTCCTTCTTTGTGTGCTAGTTACTTTTGTTGGCAGCAGTTGTTCGCACATAGGTGCATGCTTTCCTCGCTGCTTTTCTTCACTAGCCACTGCATTCATCTCCAATCTCGTCACTATTTTTAGTATTTGGTTCACTTTTTAACTGGTGGTCTGCCAGTTTTTCATGCTGTGTGCTTTCCCCTCGCCTTGAGTGCTGTATTTATTGCTGTTGTTCAATGGGCCCATCTTAGATCTTTCAGCGTTCTTTAGTGAAGGTGCTGCATCTTGACTTGTGGAAGTGCTATCTGATGTACGTGAGAGAGACGAAGGCCACGCTACCAGGTTTCAGGTTAGTCCACTTTGGTTTCATGCATTTGGTTATGTAGAGCAACATGCCTGGTTGATTACACCGTGCAGCTCTTTTGGCTATGTCATGTATCACTCTTAGGTTACGTCATGCAACATGCTTGGTTGCACCATGAAGCTCTTTTTGAGCATCTTGATTACAACTTAACTCGGCCCATTGTACAATATTTGTGGGCTGGCTGGTGTTATCGCATGCAGGTAATCTAAAGACCAATGTAAACGCCCCACAACTAGAGGATATTGTTTAACTTTTATGCCATGCTTGTTGGGCTCTCGTCAGGGGCAGGTCAGGGTAACCTCTTCCTGTTTCCACACTGTCCTCTTGTGTTCCTGCTTGGTTTTGATGTGTTTTGGTGTGCTGTGACGGTTTGTGATCTCGTTCTATTGTCCACTGCAGAGAAAAGATGACACAGGCGTATGAGTTTGCATTGACGAAAGTCGGCCAAGATATTGGTTCCACTCAGGTGAGGTGATATTGCTGTGCGAGCTACACAGTTCTAGAGTCTCTGATAATGCTGGACACCTTTCTGTTCAGATATCGATTGGGGTAGTGTATACTGCAACGTTAGGCCACCCAGAATTAATTCATTGTTTCGGGTCACCCGACCGACCGTCTTCTTCCACCCGACCGCAAAATGTTTTTTTTATAGTGCATGCAAATGTACATGACTAGACTATGTACTGACATGTACACACACGCCTAATAATAGCAGTCCAGACATCGACCTCACAAGCAGCCTAATAAAATAATAGGATGAAGCGCTTGGTGACGATGTTGTCTTCCGATCCGCTATCGGTCCTGAAACAGCATCAGCGCCGCCACCGCGTTGCTCTTTGACAGACGTTTTCAAGGTGAGAACTGCTCCTCGGACTCGTTTGCCAGCGAGGCCAAGGTCTGGTCCTGGAGGGGACCTGGGTCTGATGGGACAATGACTGCGCCGGATCGTCGACAGTCATGATTTGATTGACTGGCTTGATGGACAAAAGCTATTCGATATGCACAATTGTACATGTATGCACATATACATGGCAGTAACCAAAATAAAAAATAAAATAAAATAAAATAAAAAATAAACCCGACCGACCGACCCTGGTACGGATGAGTGAAGTGACCCGAAACAACGAATTCTAGGTGGCCGTATAGTGGATTGGCGGCCAAGTTTCTGCTACCGCTGCTTCTGCTGCTGTTGGTGCTGCTCCTGCTGTTGGTGCTGTTGCTGTTGGTACTGGTGCTGTTGCTGATGCTGTTGGCTTTGATGTTGTGTGTGCCTCTGCAGATCTGGGTGGACTATATTGCCTTTCTAAGAGCTGGGTAAGTAGTACGCATCCTGTGTTTGTATTGAAGGGAGAAAAATGAGGGTTCATAAGTTTGAGGCAAAATGGGGAAAATCAGTTTTGCCTTTTCCTCTCACCAAATGTACCATGACACTCCTGCACAGGATGTATGCCAGCACTGAGACATTCAACGGCGTCGGGTCTTTTCCTACATGAACCTTCCAAGTTGGAAGGCTGTTGGTTTATATTTTGGAGACATGTTGGAGCTAGGTGTTGGGTCGTCGAATGTTTCAATACTCTGTCAGTTTGGTCGCTAGTTGTCGCACGTTCTGGCTATATAGTTTAGTTATACCGTAAAGTACCGTTGATCCGCCCCCTCTCTAATTCCCGCCCCCTGTCGATTTTCTACCTGTGAAGCGACTTCGGCGTATACAACGAAAATACGATGTTGAACCGACGCATGCACTGCTGTACACAATACTTGCCAATCCAGGATGAAAATGTGCACAATCCAGCACATCGAGTCTGAAATTCTACGTTATTGTACATCGTACTGCACTTGACAGCCTTGATCTAATTCCGCCCCCTGCCGAAAACCCAGCTGGGAAGCGACATGGCGTGAGGGGCGGATCAACGGTACTTTACGGTAGTAGTGGGCAGTTGCTCATAACTCATTTCCAACTTTCCTTTCTCCTTTTATATGTGAATTAATAAGAATGTTTTAGATGTTGACCGCGTCCTTTTCCAAGCATATCTATTTATTTAGACATCTCCTGGCACGTCAAAAGTCGGCCAATTTATCAGTTGAGATGAAGGGTGAGAGCCAACCATGGCAGAGTGGAATATACACTATTTACTATACAGAGATCTTTAACCCCTGACGGTCTTGTGCACGAGGGGTGCGGATAATCGGCACTCTACTCGAGAATTGAATGACAGTTGTATGCTATGTTGCCTTGTGTTGACAGTGACGCTTCTGGATCGTTTGCCGAGAACCAGAAGATTGCATCCATCCGCCGCGTCTACCAGGTACCGTGGTGCTGACTCTGTTGTATCTTAGTTAACTTTCATGATTCGTTTGTCCTTCCAAGTACAATAAAGCCGTTTTACATGTCGATTCAGCTCTGCTCGTCCTTTTTTTGATCGCGATTCTCAAGTGGTAGGACTACACTCTTTTCTAGTTCTGCCCAGGCACCTACTTACTCGTGCTGTCTGTTTGATTCCATCCTGTGCAGCGCGTGTGTTCGTCACCAATTCTCAACATTGACCCGCTGTGGAAAGAGTACAACGTGTTTGAGCAGAACGTCAACAAGGTGCTGGCGAAGAAACTGTGCGACGAGCGCGCCCGTGATTTCAAGAACGCACTGCGCGTCGCCAAGGAAGCCGAGCATCTCTTCCGCGACGTTGAGAAGGGTACGCCATCGGTCCCACCAGGAACGCTGGCCGATGAACAACAACAGGTAGGCATGAGTGGGGGAGCAGTGTGCAGAAGCAGTGCTCATGTGCGTTGTTAGTATTGCGATATGCTGTCTAGCCTGTTGCCGAGTCTTATGGCTTAGCAGAGTTTCATGGCAGGGTCTTATGACGTTACATGGTCTTAACAGGGTCTTGTAGCTTTACAGAGTCTTATCACTCTTATGGCATTACAGTGTCTTATGGCTTAACAGGGTCTTATGGCTTAACAGGGTCTTATAGCTTAACAGGGTGTTATAGCTTAACAGGGTCGTATGGCGTTACAGGGTCTTATAGCTTAACAGGGTCTTATGGCGTTACAGGGTCTTATGGCGTTACAGGGTCTTAATTAACAGAGCCTTACAGCCTTACAGGGTTGTATGACATTACAGAGTCTTAACGGCTTTGGAGAGTTTTGGAGCGTTCAAAATTCATAAACCACATCTCTGTGTCCTCTATGAGCACAATGTTCTCGAACTCGCTAAAGATTAGCCAACAGCAAACAGAGCTGTGTTCTGAAACTATTCTTTTTTATACACATATGTGCCGCAGAGCACGGAACGATGGCTTGGCACGTGCAAAACATCAACGGAAATTGCAACGATAAAAACGAGGACACGGAGAACAGAGAGCGGAATTAGGAGAACCAGCAAGAGCTCCGTAGAGAATGCAACGAGATGGGGAGGTATCAGAAAAGAGGCATGCGTGTGTACAGACAATGCACCAACTATTCCGAAAGACTTTTATGGTGGAATGGGACGAAACTAATGGACACGTGTCACGTTTGATTCCCAGTGGTTCTCGGTGCGGTATTTGACCAGCCAACCATACCCTTACTTCTTGTCTTTGTGCTTGCACAGCTTCGGCTCTGGAAGAAGATCATTGCCTGGGAGAAGACGAATCCATGTCGGTCTGATAATCCTGCCACAGTGAAGAGGCGAGGTATGTGTGCACCATGCAGGGCTTGGAAAGTGGTAGCTCACAACCCCCAAAATTACAGTCCATTCATTAAAAAAAGAAGATATCCAAGCTTTTGGCCATAAATGGTCGAATTTTGAGTTTTTTCAAAAAATTCCGTCCCCCTTTACAGTAGTTTTCATGTAATTTTGTTAATGTCTTAAGGGGCCGGCCGTAAATATCGTACTTTGTTCACGAAACGAATTGTTTTAGTTTAGACCCAACCCTCCCTCCCCCTCAGAACGTAAAAAATTGTTGACGTATACATGCATATACAACAAAAGTCGCAAGTGTGCCACTGCTCCTGTGGCCATGTACATGTATCGAAGTTTTCTGAAACGAAATTGGTCAACCCCCTCCCACCCCATAACGAAATTATTTCGTTTTGTGAAAAAAGTTCGATAATTATGGATGACCCCTGAGGCCGATTCATACTTTATTTCACGTTCGGGAAAGTCATCGCGCGACCGTCGCACGATGGCTTTCCCGTACGCGAAATGGTTGAGCTCAGATCAACTTTTTTTCACAACGCGACCAGTTTCCTGTACGCGAAATGAAGTATGAATCGGCCCTTAGAGGTGGTTTACATTTTCATTTTGGGACACCAGGCGTATATGATTGAAAACAGCATCCCCCTCCCCTCTCTCCCTTTCTTTCTTCAGTGACCTTAAAAATATATAAATTCACGGTTCGCATCAGACTCGGCTAGAGGCCAAGTTTTCCGCATCCGTAGGAACGCCACCATCCTTCAAGTGACCTATAGTGCAGATTATTCACCGCTAGAGGCATAGTTTGAGCTCAATGTGATGCTGTGTATTTTCCTGCAGTGATGTTCACCTATGAGCAGTGCCTCCTTGTGTTTGGCCATCATCCCGATATCTGGTACGAGGCTGCTCATTTCCTCTCCGAGTCAGCACGCGGTCTGACTGACAAATCTGTAAGTCCAGTATAGCCTTTCTGCAGCCTGTTAACAAGCTGGAATTAACTTTGAGGCATATTGCAGCTTCATCTGTAGAAAGTAGTTGGGTGGACACACCCATTTCCAACGCACAGCAAAGGACCGAACCAATTCTTTATGTATACAGTTTCGGCAATGATATTGCCATCGTCAGGTACGAATGAAACAATGTTCGGTCCTTTTCAGTGCTTTGGGAAGGGGTGTGTCCATCCAACTACTTTCTGTTGATAAGCTGCCTTGAAATAAAATAATTCAGACACCATGATATTACCAAAGTTTCGCATATTATATAGAGCGAGAGGGAAGAAACACCGACGCAGAGAGAGAGGCAGAAAGAAAAAAGAAAGAGAGAGGGTGTGTGTGTGGGGGGGGGGGGGGGGGGGGTTGTAGCAGTTCATGAATCTCTGGGTATTGTTTTTGCTCTGTTAACGATAATCATGTTTTGGTAAAAGAACGTGGCTTTTATTGTTCCATCACTTTTATATGCCAGTTTGAGCGATTGTTGTGTAGGTTATGTGTTTTCGCCTAGGGTAGCCTGGGTTTATTTTGAACTGTCCACCTCTCCACACTGCGCTCTTGGCCCACATTCACCCCACCATAGCAGGGAAATTCGTTCTTTGATAGATTTTCCATATCCCCCAGACAGCTGTTTTGCTCATTGAGAGCTTCTCAGTGGAGGTAACGAATGAATAGATAAAGGAATGAGGTAGCCAGGGTGTACACACATTGATTGTACTTCCTTCGCCAGCATTCAACTTTTTCTTCTGGTGTGTTTTTCTGGTTTCCATTATCAGGACACCCTAGGGAAGGAATGGCTCGACGAGGTGACCGTGTTCTTTGAGCGCGCCATTGGACTGTTCATGTCCCGTAATCAGCTGGTTCACTTCGCTTATGCCGACTTTGAACAGGTTTGTGTTGCATGTGGCTTTGTGTTTGTGTCTCTCGAGCATCTTCTACTCTGCTGGAAACTTTGGATTGAGTGTGAGCTGAGTGTTTGTGTTGCACACGACTGCACGTATGCAACAACATCTACGGGAGATAATGCTCTAGTGCCCTGATTTTTGCTTGCTTCGCTATGTATACGTGTGTGAACGCGTACGTGCTCCTGTCTGTTTGTGTGTTTCAGTCGCGCATGCACTATGACAAGTGTCATGAGATCTATACACGGCTGATCAAGTCGCTCGGCGATACAGATCACAGTCTGGTAAGTTGATCCTTGCTTACAGTCTAGCAGTTAACCTGACCATTTTGTACGGCAAGAGTACATATTACTACATGTACATAACCCCCAAGAGTGTGCAGCTGTCTGCACAACCTCCATACAGTGCTGCGACGGCAGAACTTCACATCACGTGACATGTTTCGAAAGGTTACGCTGGAAAACAGTGCAAAGTGATCACAAGACAGTTGAACCCAAAGCAGGGCTGTGTGTAACTCTTTATCTATCATGCAAAGGGGGCAAGTAGTGTGTACGAGTTCATCACTTGATGATGTGAAGTTCTGCCGCTTCAGACCCCATAGCTGGAGTTGCACACTCTTGGCACTTAGGTACTCCTGTGTACGGGCAATGTTTGTAGCTTGCCAGTCATCGCCATTGTCCTCATGCAGCTAGTGAGTGAGCACTGCACCTACTCTGGATCTGCTTTAGCATTTTCATGGTCTGCTTCTGTTTCTAACATACATGTACCGTAAAGTCTTGTATAAAAGCCGCGGCTTCTATGCCTTTCTTGGTGAAATTTTGCAGGCTTCTATATGAGACAGGCTTCTATACAAGACAGGTATGTCAACACTAAAACCAGGCCTATGTGTGATTTGATGGGCCCAAAATTGCGGCTTCTATTCAAGTGCGGCTTTTATACAAGACTTTACGGTATGCATTAAAAAAAAACTCGGATGTTGAGCCAATAATAATATGGAAAGAGAAAAGGACCTATAAGTTACTAGTTATGACAACAGTCCACCAAGGTAACGAGATAATATACAGTCAGATAGTGCGACAACAAGGCACAAAACCGACAAGGATATTGAGACATTCGACGACCTGACACCTAGCTCCAATACATCTACGAAGCGCAAACCAACAACCTTCCAACTTGGAATGCTCAGGTGCGGAAAGTTCCAATGAGGTTGGTTTGCGCTTCGTAGATGTATTGGAGCTAGGTGTCAGGTCGTCGGATGTCTCAATATCCTTGTCGGTTCTGTGCCTTGTTGTCGCACTATGTGACTGTATGTTATCTCGTTACCTTGGTGGATGGTTAGTCATAACTAGTAACTTATAGGTCCTTTTCTCTTTCCAGACATGTATGCACCAACATTCCTGCTGAGTTCTCTTGTACGAACTGCAGTGCATGACACATGGACGCCAAAGGGCTTGTCAAAGACGTTCTGTGTCCTGTGCTCTGCCATGTGTGTTCACAGACCTACGTGCAGTACATGAAGTTTGCTCGGCAGGCCGAAGGCATGAAGGCGGCTCGCCTGGTGTTTAAGAAGGCCCGTGAGGACCAGCAGTGTGCGCATCCTGCGTTTGTCGCGGCCGCGCTGATGGAGTACGCATGTAGCAAGGTAAATCATCAATGACGTTCTCCACTGCAGTTAGTGAGTCTACTTCAATATGCAAGGCTTTCGTGGCAAGTGTTTTGTGTTGATCATGATGGGCATCAAGGTGTGCATGCAATTTTAGCTCTGACATATTTGTCAGCAAACTAAAACGCTGCCCTTTAGTATTGCATCCAGTGTCTTGTCTTTCCAAGAGTTCTCACCGCATCCTGTTGTCCTCTGCCCTGTGCAGGACAAGACCATAGCTATCAAGATTTTTGAGCTGGGACTGAAGCGCTTTGCAACCGAGCTGGAGTATGTGAAGGCGTATCTGCAGTTCATGATCTCCTTGAATGGTAGGTGTGCGCAGTGAATCTTGTGTGCCATGGCATCGCATGCCCCTTAGGGCACACTTCCCGCTGCTTTACTTGAGCTCGTGCCTTTTAGATACATCATTTGTCGTTGGGACGTGGGATTTGTTCGTACATGTACCGGTACGTATGTGCTGGATGCATTGTGAAAATGTGGAGACTTGTGCTGATTACATTATTCTAACATCTTGCTGCGTTATTTTAGCTTTTTCCATTGCGTGCAGCTTTTTAAACCTGGTTATGTAGTGCACTACAGCTTTGCTGCAGAGTTGTTGTGCTTCAGTGGGGGGTTCATGGTCTTTTCCCCCTTTGTCCTCTTGTCTCGTCCTAATTCTGCAGAGGACAACAATACACGAGTGCTATTCGAGCGCTTGGTCGGCGGACTCGCAGAGGACAAGTCTAGGTATGCATACTTCCAGTCGTATGCGCTTGTGGTGTTGTTCCTGCGAGTGTTCCCTTGTGCCAGTTTCTGCTTTGTGTAGTTGTGATGCGTCGTCATGCTGGTTTAGAAACACACTTGACTTGAATTAGGATAATTCATGACTACTCTAATTATTATTTCAGAAATTTCGGTACTCAATATTTTCGGTATGAGGGCAAAAGGCCAGGGTAGGTGAACAGAAATTTTAGGTCCAGAGAAGCAGTTCCCCATTGGATTATGTGTGTTAGTGTTTGTTCGGTGTATTGACATTTTAGGTAGGAAACAGACGCACCGAAAGTACCGAAAATAAAAGTACACCGAACATTTGTGAAATTACAGTATTTTTTTACGGCAGTACTGCAATGCACATGTGCTTGACTTTATGAGAAGATGCCAACCTTGACAATTGCAGAAAGAGAGAGAGAGAGAGAGAGAGAGAGAGAGAGAGAGAGAGAGAGAGAGAGAGAGAGAGAGAGAGAGAGAGAGAGAGAGAGAGAGAGAGAGAGAGAGAGGATGTATTTGATGTGCGGTTTCAGTTCATGTTACTTGCTGTAGTCCGAATTGATTCGGACACATTTGAGAGAGCTGTCACAGCCATGCGTAGGATGCGGTTGTCTTGGGCAGAGCGCCGCTGTCAGTGGGTATTAATCCTTTACCGTTGGCCTACGCACCACTCCATGCAGGCACAACCATGCCTCATTTGACGTGTAGTTCGTTTGTTTCTGCTCTGGTTGTAGGGAGCTGTGGGATATTTTCCGCCGATTTGAGTCCAGCGTCGGCGACTTGTCATCTTTGCTGAAGGTTGAGAAGCGAATGACTGAAGTCTTTTCGAAGGTAAGATATTATGGGAAATGTGATGCGGCAACTGTAGAAGAAGGTGACTGCTCTTAAAAATTCGAGCCCGTGCTTCCTGCTGAGTATCTGACACTGACTGACTCACCACTGCCGTCTGCAGCACACGAAAAGCATTGTCTAACTGTCCACTGGGCATACCTTCAAGAAAGCGCCACTCCCTATTGAAAACAGAGTGTTTCGCGGAATTCGTCCCTTATCAGCTGAGCTTGGGTGGGCAAATGGAAGTTGTGCTCCGAGAGCACTGCTTTATGCTTTATGCAGTGCTCTCCCAGCCCAAATATATCACAAAAGATACTAGCATCGTACAGTGATGCTCCGTTTCCGGTGCAACGAAACACCTCGTGAGCACCAGGCGACAGCGCGAGTCGGCACATGGTGGCGTGAATACAGACGCTGAGGGTCGCTGACCATCTGCAACGCTGTCACTTTTGATCACCTAGTCTCATGCATGCGCGGGGACAACAGTACGAATTTGTTTACGATAGTGTGAACACTCTCTGGACAAAAAAGGAGAATCTTTAAATTTCCTTTTTTTTTTAAATAATTATTCTAATGAACTGGAGAATGAAGTTGAAGACACCACTGCAGCTGTACTTATGATTGATTAGTATGGTGGTAAAGACACATCGCCATAGTGCCAGGTGTGTCTTTACCACCATACTAATCAATCCTGTTGAATCTATCTGCGTTACAGTAGGTGGTGCATACCTTACAAGATATCTTCAAAAGGTTGGCCAGCCCGGTACATGTACAATCATCATAAACACATTGTGCAAGTACTCTAATTTCAGAAATTTTCGGTGCTCAATATTTTCGGTATGAGGGCAACAGGCCAGGTTAGGTGAACAGAAAATTTCGGTACAGAGAAGCAGTTCCCTATTGGATTATGTGTGTTAGTGTTTGTTCGGTGTATTGAAATTTTAGGTATGAAACAGAAAATAAGAGTACACCGAATATTTGTGAAATTACAGTACCTAAGGCTCTCTCTCTCTCTCTCTCTCTCTCTCTCTCTCTCTCTCTCTCTCTCTCTCTCTCTCTCTCTCTCTCTCTCTCTCTCTCTCTCTCTCTCTCTCTCTCTCTCTCTCTCTCTCTCTCTCTCTCTCTCTCTCTCTCTCTCTCTCTCTCTCTCTCTCTCTCTCTCTCTCTCTCTCTCTCTCTCTCTCTGTCTCTCTCTCTCTCTCTCTCTCTCTCTCTCTCTCTCTCTCTCTCTCTCTCTCTCTCTTCTCTCTCTCTCTTCTCTCTCTCTCTCTCTCTCTCTCTCTCTCTCTCTCCCTCTCTCTCTCTCCCTCTCTCTCTCTCCCTCTCTCTCCCTCTCTCTGTCCATGTTTTTCACTGTTCTATCGCAGAGTATTGAGAACTGTGAAGCACCACTTATCGTTGATCGCTATCGGTTTCTAGGTTTATGGCCATGTTCTGATGATGAACTACTATCCATGAACCATAAGGTGCGTACATGTACCGGTGCGTGACTATGTCCACGTGTGTGTGTGTGTTTGTGTGTGCACATGTGGTTGCATACGTGTGTGTGTGTGTGTATGTGTGTGTGTGTGCACGTGTGTGTGTGTGTGTGTGTGTGTGTGTGTGTGTGTGCACATGTGTGCGCGCGTGTGTGTGTGTGTGCATGTGTGCCCGCGTGTGGGGTTATCCTGGTGCGTCCTTGTGTCATGGGAGCTTTGTGATTCCTGAAAGTCGTCAGCATTCCCTGTCCTGCATTTCTTTTGTGTTGCTACCACATTGTATTAGCTGCCGGCTGTCTCAAACACTGGTTCGGCTATGATAAGTGTTGTTTATGTTAGTCAAGCAGAAGAGATTTATTGTTTATTTTTCCTGCACGAGTGGTTTTGGAAATTCTTGAAATTTGTTTGGAAAAAATTGGAATTTTATGTGCTTGGTTGGCTGCGAACCCTGGGTCACCGTCACTTAGAAGCATGTCTTGCAGTGTGGTGCAGTGATCTTACTCTCTGTCTGTCTCTTGATGTGCCTCATCTCACTACTGCTTGCTGATGTGTAGGAGTTTGCCAAACAGTACTCAATACTTCGTTCCGGGACACCCACGCTCCTTGCGGCACGCCAGAGCGCGACGAAAGGCGATGCGACGCAAGCGAAGCCCGTCAGCACGACCGATTCGTCGGGCCGCGGCATGCCCGACGTGAAGAACATGCTTCCCTTCAGACCTAGCGTGCGAGTTGGTACGTCGATTGTGCTACCTCCTCGTGTCCTTTCAACCATTGTTATGTCCATAGTGTTTTTTGTATTACAGTAAAACTGCGCAGATCCGGACGTCCCTAATTCGGGCACGTCCGTCTACCGTGCACCTTTCTGACCCATCTAAGTCACAAAATCGGCATTTCAACGGAAAAGGCCCCAAAAACTATTGATTGGCATCACAAAATGTTTTCTTGCATCCAGTGAGTATGTCAGTTCCAAGTTACGTGCAATTCCTACTTACGGGCAGTGCTCGGTCCCAACCTGCCCGGATCTGGGCAGTTTTACTCTATATACTGTTAATATACAAAATTTCGGCACTTCACGATTTTTGACATTTCGGCGGCGATTTATTTTCGGCGTGGGGTAGAGGGCATGGCATAGTGCGACAGATGCTGTGAAAAACTTCATCGGCGTTTTAATTTAGGCGTTTCGGGTCGGTGCCGAATATAGCCGAAATTAAATAGCTGCCGAAAATTTGTATATTTACAGTATGGGCTAGCTACCACAAGGGCATGATAGTGACTCACAACCTCAACATTTGACTCTATGCACCCTGTTCACGTGCTCTGCACCGAATGGTTGCCTTGCCGACAGTGTTATCCATTGACATCTGCAAACGTCTGCTGCCTGAGTGAGAGGGATGGTGGAATCGCACTCGTGAGGCCTATTAGGACATGTCCGTTGCTATAGTCACCTCGGTAGATTCCACTGAGTGTTCAGCCACCACCCAAAGTGTGTAGACACCTGTACGGCGGCGGAATGGGCTTGACACTGCCGTCTGCTGTGGGTCTGCGAAGCACCAGTAGTGGCTGGAGCATCCCACGTTGTCCTGGCGATGTGCTCGGACAGCATCACAATGACATAGTGCAGGCGATCTACACCACAGACACTGCTTTGCCTTGTCCTCTTTTTTTTTTAATGGTGTAGAAGCGTTCTGTAGTGTCCGAGAAAGCAGTATCCGAAGAGTGATTGGATTACCCCCAACACCTCGTTTTCGGACATTTGAAGATTCCTTTTCAACCAGTTCATATGACTGTGTTGCTTTGGACTTTTTTCACCGGCCAGGTGCTATGCAAGCATACCTGGCTATTTGAGACCGGTCATGGTAGTTTTACAGCTGACACAGTGTTACCCCCAGTATTCTGATGTTGTTGTTGTTGTTGTTCCTGTACAGGTGTCAATGTGCAAGGGGTGCCCGGTGGGTCGTTCCCTCTCCCTCAGCCGCTCACGGAACTCTCGCTAGCCATTCCGCCACCAACCTCTTTCCAGGTGAGTCGGTCGTTCGTGTCATATCTTGTTACTGTAGTTGTGGATCTGCTGCGATCCTACCGTTCTAGTCTTTCTACCTGTGTCAACACACAACTCCTGATTTCTCTTTCTCTTCCAAACGTGCAGGGTCCATTCGTTGTAGTTGATGACTGGCTGAAGCTGATATCCAAGATTGACATACCGGATGATTATGAAAGTGAGTACCGTGTACGCGTTGAATAATCCGGCGTATTACATGGCATTGTTGATGCATTCCTGACTAATGTACTAGTATGTATTCATCAAATCCCTGCCTTTTCTCCCTGTCCTGTGTGACGTAGCATTCGCCGCCAAGTGGGAGGACCGCGTCAAGCTGGACGGCGACCTGGCCATGAAGAGCGCCTCGCACTTTGCCTTTGCCAAGTCGTCGTCGCGGAAACGTCACGGTGGCGAGGCGCACGAGAGCGACGAGGAAGACGCCGCTCCGCCGGTCAACGACATCTACCGCGTCCGCCAGCAGAAGAGAGTGCACACGGCGACGTCCATGACGTGAGCGCGATGAGATGCTGCTGGTGATCGACGCGAATGCGCTTGCTGCCCTCGCGTGGTTACTGTTCGGAAAGCAGTCTCGCCGGGCTGCTTTTCTTTCTGTACTGAGAAGTAGCAGTCTGACCTAGCTTCTTCTCTTTTCTATGCTGCTCTATTTACATGGCGACGCTGTGTGTGTGTGTGTGTGTGTGTGTGTGTGTGTGTGTGTGTGTGTGTGTGTGTGTGTGTGTGTGTGTGCATGTGCGTGCGTGTGCGTGTGTGTGATTGCGACAGTCAAGCATCTTGAGCTTAGAATAATAGCACTGGGCCAGTTGTATGCACTGCTGAGAAACGCAGTGTTGCACTAGTGCCCGTTCAATACCCTTTTCATACATTCCCATCTGCCGAAACCTTGCGCACGTAAACAGTTTGGCGAATGCCCGCAGACGACAGTGCAGGGAGGCATTTGATGCTCACACTGCACCGATCCAACCATGAAACTCTCATGCACCATCAGCCTTTTATTATTTTATGAAAACTTATGAAACTCCTTTGAGCGTACATGTATTTCACCTGGTCCGATCCTATGTAGAATATATACTGAAATAGTAGTACACTTTCCTGGATCCTGTTCTCGTATTCTTCATTTATACTTTGAAGTGTTTTCCCTAGTGCAGTTGCGTATCGTGCAATCTGGTAGCGTGGGTCCATTGGAGGCTGGTGTGTGTGTGTACGTGTGTGTGTGTGTGTGTACGTGTCACTGTGTGTGTGCGCACATGCGCGCACGTGTGTGTGTGTGTGTGTGTGTGTCAGGGATTCACTGGTCAGAAAAGCCACTTCATAGCTATGTGGTGTAGACCAGGCTGAATAGTGGCGGTCAATTTTTCAGCCTTGCAACCTGCTGAATGGTGCAATCCGAGCACAAGTTGTTATGTATCATCAAATGGTGTGTGTGTGTGTGTGTGTGTGTGCGCGCACGCTTTCACCTTTTCACATGTATGTCCAGGTGCCTTTGCATTTGAGCCGCATTCTAAGTGCGGGCATCTTGACTGTGTGTACGGCTATTTCGTTACTTACGAGACTGACACTGGTACGAGAATTCTTGGCCGGAGAGCACGGTTTTTGGTACATAATTATTATGTAGATATTCATGCTTGCTGGTGGTGTGGTCGTGGGGGAGGCTAGGCATGGACTGGCCCCACACAGTCTATTGTTCCTGTGTTTCTGCCGCAACAAACCGGTTACACGCACTGGCATTGCTGAGCCACCATCCCTGTAGCCTTGTAGCCTAAGTTGTAGGTCATGCAGATGCGTGCATTATGCAACTGCCTGTTGCTGCAGTGCGGTTCCTATCCATGGTATACATGCCGAATACTATAATTGAATAGCAACGCTTCTTGGGACCCAGGGTGTGTGGGCGGGTGAATGGGGGGGGGGGGGGGGGTAGACAGTGCCTACAATGTCGTACTTGGGCCCTGGCACTGAGTGCAGTCAGGTCACCGCAGATATCTGCTGCTATGTCTGCTCAGTGGCACCTCCAGACAGCAGATTGAAGGCATTTATTTTTAGTGTCACTGTTATGGTATTGACATGATTTACAGAATACCGGTACGTACATGTACAGTATAGCTAGTTAGCAAGCTTCAATGACCGCACTAGCACTGGATTCAGAGATAATTACTTCCTTCAAAACTTACGGATATGAGACGAATTTTAGCGATAAATAATTTTTTCGTGAAGAATCTTGACAAAACAAAAGATACTGGTCTACCTGAGTGTAAGAATAAGAATGATGATGATTGGAGATTCCTAAACCCTAATAGTAATACTAGAATAAAGTAGTAGTGCTCAATGATTGGTCGTGTGTTCTGTAGTAGAAGTCGCCCAGTGAACTGCGAGTACCGGTATGGCTTAATAACACTACACCGGTATTGCTGCAATGCACACAGCTTGGCGTCCGATTTCGTTTGACCCGCTAGGCAGCTAACACCACCTGACTAGCTGCTGATCAAGTCGCCGGACGATGTCTGAGAAGTGTGGCCGTTCAGTGGCGTTGGCCTGCCAGCAGTTCTTGATCAGGTCTGAGTAGTCACCAGGCATGCCATCCGGTAAGCACGGTCTCTCCCCGGCCAGCACAGCGTCGCACAGGACGTGCTGGAAGCGGTACTGCTGCTCACCGAACGGAGCTCGGCGCGTGTACGCCTCCCAGAGAACGAGTCCAAAGCTGCCGCAGGGAACAAGATACCAACAGAGATAGTATGTCATGAGTAATGGAAACAAGATTCACCCTACAATAATACTACAATGTCATGTATTACCTACAGAGTTTGTGCCACTCATACAGGTACTGAATCCCATTTTTGATTAATTATCACTTTACTATTATTCAAAGGAAAGAAAAAAAAAACGAGCCAAGACCTTTCTTCGTATAATCCCTCGTCCTTCAGAGTATGGCTTCTTTCTTTCTCTCTACTGGCTGTGCGGAAAGCTCTACCTTTACAGGCATGGAGCACTCTTTGGGCAGTAGAGCACGTTACTTGTCGATTATGTAATCCTTCATCACTATACAACCATGCTATCAGGTGAGAGCTACAGAAAATCATTTGCACGCCAGTACCTGTAAACATCGGCGCTTGTTCCATACGTTTGGCAGCTCCAAATCTCCGGTGACCGATACACAGATGTACCGACCATGCTGGTCACCTCTCCATCGCCGTACTGCTGTCGCTGGTTGTGCTGCTGCAGCAGTGGACTGCCCTCGTTCACCGCGTCCGTGCTACAGGCCAGCGTGTGGCCCCCGCTATCGGCGATGTCATGCTGGTTCAGGTGCGACATCAGGCGTGCCGTGCCGAAATCAGCCACCTTGACCACCCAGCGCTCGGTCACCAGCAGATTGGAGCACTTCAGGTCAAGGTGTACAACTGGTGGATGCAGGCCGTGCAAGTACTCCATACCCTTAGCCGCATCCAGCATGAAGCGAAGGCGATCTGCATGGCTGATGGCTACGCTCTCGTCCACCAGCAACGACTTGAGCGAGCCACGCTTAGCATACTCCATCACCAGGAACAGCTCGTTCTTCGGGTCAACGCCGGCGCCCAGGAACAGCACGATGTTGGGATGCCGGTGCTGCTTCATCAGCTCGGCCTCGCGTTGGAACTCCTGCACTGAGCGTTCGTCGGCCAGCCAGTGTCTTTGCAGCTTCTTGACGGTGACGAGCGTGTCGCTCAGCTCCGCCAGCCACACTTCACCGCAGCCGCCCTGCGCCACCAGGCGCCGCGGCCGAATCTGACTCCACTCGATCTTCCAGATGGCCATCATCTTGGAGATTTGCTTGGAGGAAGCGCGCAGCTTTCGCCGCAGCTCTCTGGCCTGCCGACGGCGCCTGACGAATATGCTGATGGCTATGGAGGTGGTGATGGCGGCGATTAGTACGCCCATGCCGGCCGCAATGAAATAGTAGGGCACGAGGCAGTTATCACGTTGGTCGTAGCCGACATGGCAGGCGCACATTGGCTCGGCGCCGGTCGACACGTTGCACACGCCGTTGCCGTGGCAATAGCCGTCCACACACGCCGTGCAGTCGTCCGACGAGGTGCTGGCGTTGCCGGTGGTGACCGTGGACTTGGGACACGCTATGCAGTGGCGCCCGTCCGGTCCCCACGTGTGCATGGGGCACTCGGCGCACGTGGCGTTCGCTCGCTGGTGGCCGGCCGGGCATGTGTCGTCGGAGAGAAACGTGGCCGCGTAGCCCGCGGAGTTGTTCTCGGCGATCACCCACGACGCCAGGAAGAGATTTCCCGACCTCACAGGAACGGTCGTCAATCCTACGTAGCCGGTGTGCCTGAACAGTGGTCGTGTCTTGCGAATTGCAAACCTTCCATGAGGATCTGTATTGTAGAACATAATGATGGTGTCCGTCGCTGGGCCAGTTGAGTCCACACCGCCGTGAAGAAGGAGAAGATCATTGCCATGGCTGATTAGACTGTGCCCAACTCGACCTGGAGGAAATTGTCCCCGCACGCATCTTATATGGTACGTCGGTGTTGTCGAGTCCACAGAGATCTCGAAGAATGCATCGGGCCCGGTGGAGATCTGCGACGGGGTCGGTTCAGAGGCGCGGATACCGCCGAACACGAGCCACCGATTCTGAACGCGCGTTACACTGGGACTGGCCACCGATTGGAGATGGGCACTGTCCTTGCCCGGAGTCATACGCTGCCAACGTCCCGTGCACGTGCCAATGTCCGAGAACACAAACTGCCACGTGTCGTTCAGGCTGTGCGTGGAGCCGCTCTGCGGCACCATGCCGCCAAACATCACGAACGCAGTAGCGTTGCGGGCAAAGCCGGCATGGCCAGTACGCCCCACAGGCTGCAGGGCACGCTCCAAGCGAGCGTCTGACCACTGGCCACGGCAGGCATCGTAGCACAGCAGTGTAGACACCGCCCTGCTGCCTTCCATGCCGCCATGCACTGCCGCATGGCAACCACCGTTACCCGGCATCTGCATAAACAGCCGTCCCCGCAGCAGGCTGGCGTTCGTCTGCAGCTTGCCCTCCGCCTGAAGGATATGCATGCTGAACGGCAGCATGGCAGGGGTAGGCCTTGCGGCGCTGTGCTCATCCGGCTGGCTCAGCCGTGCGTCACTCTGAAAGCGATACTCAACCAGCGGCGTGTCGGGCTGGTGGTCATTATTCCACGCCGAGTCGCCGATCATCACGCGGGTCTGCGAACCTTCCAGAGTCGAGGCGGCATGCAGAGGTGACTGGAATATCTGTGTTCCCTGTGCCCAATTCCGGTCCGCCAATGCTTTGCTGCTGATCACCGATCGGGAAAAGTCAATGGGCTTGTGCAGTGGGTTGGAGTGGATTTGCGGCCCGGACTCGGTGATGAGCGACTTCTGGATGTAAAGGCTGCGTACGAACGGTGCAGCCAGGTCCAGCACAAAGATGTGTTTGCTGCCCGCCACCAACTGCATCACTTCGGCGCGGCGGATTTGGTCTTCGGGCGTTTCCAGCGCTTGCCAGCTGTCGACGAAGGCATTGAAGCCGTAGCTCTTCGTGTACACACGTGCCGTGAGTGTGCTACTGTCGTGACTAGGTAACGTCATGCCATGGCTTGAAAGCATACTGTTCAGGCTCTGTGGGTTGGGCCAGCTTGCCGTCACAAGCAGCTGATGGCTCTGCAGGTAGGTCGAGATGAACATCATGTGCTCGCGGGACTCGCGACACTCGGCCGGAAAGTCCTCTCTCAGTCCCCACTCGGAATACTTGACATTGTAGTACCATATGGAGCACGCGTGGTTCGTGTTGCCGCGAGCAACCCACGCCACCTGCCGCTTCCTGCTGCCAGTTTCAATGTAGAAAAGATCGACATTGTCCTCAGCAGGCGGCCATGCCGCGGCACTTAGCACTATTTGAGACCACCGGGCTGCGCTGGTGTCGTTGCTGCTGCTGCTGAACTCTAAGCTCCACATGTGCTTGTCCGGCTTTCCCGGTTCATTGTAGAGGCCGATAATTGAGAACGGCTGTGTTTGTTGCCCGGCAATGCGAGCGGCGTGACTATCATCAGACGGCACGGCTACAACGACAGTCGACTGGATCGTCATGGCAACCGCGGGTGTGGCGCTGCTTATGTCGACGTGGACTAGGTCGCCGTCTCTCCACATGTACACCGCGTCAGTGCCGGTATCGCGTCGCTGGAGACCGAACAGCAGCATCTCTCGGCCGGACGGCGATACCACCACCTTCACCTGCTCGCCACCGTCCGTCGTTGCTAGGCTACAGGGAACGTCGACGTCCGCACAGTGCTTGGTGTGGTTCAGCCAGGTTGCCACACCGCACAAGTCTGGGTTTGGGTGAACAGGGAAGAGCTGCATGGTCAGCTGTGTATCGCCGGTTCTCGCGTCTCTGGACAGGAGCGGGGCGACGATAGCTTCGTTGTCTGTTATGTCCAGGGCAGGTATGCTGAGGGTCATTGTCCGGCGTGGGTACTTCACCCAGCTGTGCAATGGTTTTCTGTTCACCATTGAAAACAAGCCTTGGTCACTGCTCCACGGAAAATACGGATCATTCGAGGCCAGTGTCACAGGTATTAGTTGGTCGGGGAGGATTTTCTCTCGCAGGTCTCCCTCGCCTGACCAGCTGAGTTTACCACCGCCACTACTAGTACTAGCGTGGAGCATACGAACACCAAATGCGCTTAGCACAATCAAGTAAAGGACAAGTGCAGAGAGCGTGCGACACTGTGTTCTGCGCTCAAGGCTGACCGCTTGGTGCAGACGACCAGAGCGACAATCCACCACCCTGATCATTACGATTTACGACCCAGGTCAGGACTCACTTCAGTTTTTTTTCGCCGACTGCTTCTGATACGCTTGGAAGCTTCGCGTCTTCCAGATTGTAACCTACCCTGCTCCGTAATGCTGTCCGAGTTTAGACTTAGAGCCTCACTCCTGCAGCGTGAGCTGAACTTGGGCCGATGAATGAATAGCGTTGTGCTTGGCGAGAACTCAGTCGAGACGCCTCAATCACACAGGCTCGGATGAAGAAACGATGTGGAAGGAGCTGCTGCCGGAGAAGAAATCTTTCGAACGTATTGGCAGAAGGCTCACTACCAACTGGCAAGCATCTCATCTCAGCTTTAGCAGTAAAACACCGAATCCGATGGCTTCTCGCAACCGATATCGGCCAATCAGCCCCAGGCTCCATTGTTCGCTGACTGTACCTTCGTCGCCACTCCAGGAACACTCCCATTGATGGATCCATCACGCGTTTAATATTTCCAAGCCGGCAAACTGCGAAGGTCAACATTGCAACCAAAGTGTTGTACTTTGACTACCGTATGTTGTCGACGAGGATTTATGGGGCCCGGGGATTCGCTATTATTTTTAAATGAGCGCCTTCCAGTTCCACGCGTGGATAGCAGATCTACATAATTGAGATAAACGCATGAGTAGATCTACTGACTCTGAGTCTGAAGTGGACTGCCTCAGGCTCAGGTCACAGTCCGCGTCTGGTGGGTTGTGTTGTTGAGTTGGGATTGTCCCTTCAGACCGTGAACGTCCAACTGCTGTCGCGACCCACACATCTGTTGAGACGATTTCGACTTGTCAAACACAAGACCCGTCACTATCAGCCTGCATGTGGCCCACATGTCACATCGTGACAGTCATGCTGGCTGGCAGTGAGGGACTCTTGTGTTTGACAAGTCGAACTCGTCTCAGCAGATGTGCCAGAACAGGCAGAGGTGGTAACTGACTGAATCCGTTGATGTTGTGTGTTCAGTTTTACCAAGGGTACAGCTAATTTTACTCCTGGTCAGGCTGGTGTTACCAAGATACGTTCACTAGACGTACTAACGGTTAGATGTACACGTAAAATAACTGCATGCTGTCCAACTACACCTGCAATCGCCACACAAAGTGGTCATTGGCTACCCGAGCCATGTATTGCTTGGAATAAAAACTAAACTCCAACCCATCTACATGTAGTTCGAAAGAGTGGGCGTGGAGTGGTGCTTTCTTGCAGGTTTGCCGAGCGGAAGGTTCGATGGACTTCTCGTGTGCTCTGGAAGGCAGTCGTGACTCGTGAGTCAGTCAAGTGAGATTAAAGTTGGCAGGAAAAGCGCGAGCTCCCACGTAGAGAGCGGCACACAATAATATGACATTTTTGGCCAAATCGAGTTAACAATTGTTTCAGATACAACCTGGTCAGGAGAGTGTCGTGCAAAAATCCAGGTCCAAAAATCTCAATTCATCACCGAGTTACTCTGGAAACTATCCGGACTATCGATCACATATTCACAGAAAATACTTTTTCGAACGCGATTTTCTCAACTGCGAGCAAAACGTCATAAGGTACCTTTTTGCATCTGACGGCTCCTTTTAAAAAGTATCGCCGAAGTCGCACCAACCTCTTCTTCACATTTGTTGTCCCCGGCACGGGATTGCGAACTAGATGGTTCACTAGAGGCAACACCGTTGTGATTGGGAATGGCCAAAGGTCCTCAGCGCTTGTTCTGCACCTCCATGATCGACACTGACTCACGCTGTTGTCTGGAGTTCGTGCTGCTAGCTGTAAGACCCTACCCAGCCCCGCAAGCGGAGACGGCCTAAAGCTGCCTGCACCGCCTGCCTATCGGGATCCGAAGAGTGCACTATGCTAAACGCAGTCTACCTCTTGCCCTCCTCCCTCCCCCCCCCCCATGGTGCTTGCTGTGTACGCCGATCCCCAGACCCTTGATCTGGGGAGTCCACCGCACCTCACCTGTGCAGCTCATGTAGCCATACACGCCCATTATTGTTTTTGCTTTGTCTTTGTTTCGTTCCTCCTTCTTCCCTAGGTATGTGCACTTTGATGAACATAAAATATAAAGCGAAGTTGATTGTTCCAACAAGGAACACATGCTTCTTGCCGAACTTGACACTTGACTGACTCACGACTGCCATCCGGAGCACACGAGGAGCACATCACATCTTCCACTCGGCAAATCTGCAAGAAAGCACCACTCCCTGCTCAATACACAGTGTTTCGGGGAATTCACCCCTCATCAGTTGAGCTTGAGTAGGCCGAGAAAGATTGCAGTGCCTGAAAAGCACCACTTTATATACTGCGATCTTGTAAAATAATTTTTTTATATAAAACCACTGCAAATATGACGAGAGATACGTCGGTGAGACCTACGGTAGCGTTGCGACCAGGATCAAGGAGCACAATGATCATTCTCGGAACACGGTGAAGAGAAAGCGTTCGGCCAGCATTATGAAGCAGAACTTCAATCAGAGTCTTTGCTATAATTATAGTAATATCCAAGTTCTTGGTTATGAGAGCGATAGCCCTCGGAGGAGAATCCGAGAGGCATCATTCATCATCAGGGACCTACATGTATCTCCCGAAATTGACAACAACATCGGCTGGGGTCTGTTGTAACTTTTCATTCCATTCTATCCCTCTAGCCCAGTCTCTACAGACTAGTATCTCACACGGTTAATCAACATATTATTTTCTTTCTCCTAGTTCTACTCGGATGGCGAGCCAATTAAATTATGGTGAAAAAAAGGACAACATGTTACGAGTTATGACTAACTGTCCACCAACGTAAGCAGATCTTATACAGTCAGCGAGTGCGACAAAATGGCACAAAACTGACACTGAGACATCCGGCGACCTGACACCTAGCTCCAACACTTCTCCAAGGCGCAAACCAACAACCTTCCAACTTGGAAGGCTCAGGTTCGGAAAGGTCCAAGAGGGGAAGGAAAGCGCAACCTTTCCAAACCTGAGCCTTTTAAGTTGGAAGGTTGTTGGTTTGCGCCTTGGAGAAGTGTTGGAGCTAGGTGTCAGGTCGCCGAATGTCTCAGTGTCAGTTTTGTGCCATTTTGTCGCACTCGCTGACTGTATAAGATCTGCTTACGTTTGGTGGACAGTTAGTCGTAACTCGTAACATTTTGTCCTTCTTCTTTTTCTCCTAGTTCTGTTATATCTTCCCCTGTTCTGCTCAGAGGTACATGTATACATGTAGAACCGCGTAGCCGTCTTTCTATTTTCCACAATGTAGTGTTGTACCATTTTCACCGCCATCATAATATGGGGCAGGCCTGTCCGTTTGGTTTGCGATAAAAAGTTCTTAAAAACAAACAAACAACAACAACAACAACAATATCTCTTTTCGGCAATGATGCCATCGCTAGAATAAAGAATTCAAAAAACAACAATAACAGCAACAACAACATGCGCTGACTGTGTTGTACTTCGAAGTACGCATCATGCTAGTTACCACTGCTTTGGTGTTACCTGCTTACCTTTTTGTCCTTGGTGGGGTTTTTTTTTGAACAACGGGTCACGTGTTCCAGCGTGCCCAAGTTAGTTACCGTTTTTTTGCATGGCAAATAATATTGAAAAAGAAAAGAAAAAGTCCCAACCCTGCCCTGCCAGTTATGTGGACTTACAAGGGTCGCCATGGCAAATAATAACAATTGTAATTCCAAATGTACAACTATGATGTACTTAGCACAGTCATGTCAAAAACCGGTCTTCGACACTGAACACAACTGCCTCAGGACCGGATAGCCGCTTCAGCCACCACCCTCACGACAGAGGTGTCCATGGCTGGCAGGGAACGAACCGGCCGTGAAAACAAGCAATGCTGGAACTCAGCAGGGCAAAAGACAGCCGGCACCGGATCCCGGCATGACCTGGCTGTACGGCCGGCTCCTTCGTCTTCTCTGAGACCAGAGACGCGACACGCTTGTAGAAGCTGGTGACGGATTTCCCCATCCCACCACTGGCTGAGAAAACCAATGGTAGGAAGGTGGCATGCTCAACATCCCTGACGCGTTGGCCATAGTGTCGACGTTTTTCCTTCTCATGGCGCTGGTACGTGCTGGTGTCCTTGGTGTCAATGTAACATACATGCATGTAGTTAGGTACATGTAGCCATGTAGATGTGATGTGCTAATAGCACCTTTCCCCCTTGTTTCTCTCCAGCGGCCTTTGATTTACGCGCGTTGTCACTTTGTCCCTCTCCTTTTTCTTCTTCTTCTTCTTTTTTTTTGCCTTTGAATATCGCCGTTGATATGGCCACTTCATTCCTGACGATGGTCGTGTAAACCGAAATGTTGATGTAATTACAGTGTTTAGTTGAGTGTAGGCAGGTTGCCTGTGAATGAATAGTATGACAAACGGTATCCAATGTTTTGCTTGCAATGAGTCTTGGTCCGTACTCTGCCTACTTGTAATGTTCCTGTGACTCTCTACAATGTAATGTTGGTGAACGTTCGGCACATGATGCTCCGAGTACCGAAGAGTGCACACGCTCTCCAGGAGGCCTTGACGAGCTGAATTCACCTCCAGAAGACACCAAAGGTAACAGTAACGGTTCAAATAGTTTTCGAGCATAGGCGTTGCGGAACAATGTTCCAACTGCTAAACGTGTCTTTTAGAGCTTGCTATGACACGTACATGTACATGTAGATACTACATAGCCCCGTTTTGTTCAACCAGCAGATCCGGAGGTGTCTGACGGCTTGGTTCGACCTCCTTTCACTAGGGACCAGCTAGTTTGTCACGTACATGTACATGTACATGTACATGTACATCACATTTGTATTTAAATTTTATAGCGCTCTGAACAATACTTCAGCGAGTGTTGGTGCATACGGTTTGCGGTGTTATGTTCATGATGCACTTTGTGCTAAGCATCATTTTTTTTTACATCGACAGCAAACGGGCCGGACCGTGGGCTACACTGCAGAGCAAAGTAGTGGTGAAAAAGATCAAACCAAAAGACATGGAAATAGTAGACATGGAAGATCCCCCCCCCCCCCCGAAGTGTCTTTTCTGGCACTGAGAGCGAAAAGGGAACAGCAAAAGGAAAACAAAGGCAATGGGATACGTGGGTACTAAACAGTCGGTGCTAAAACTGGGAACATCGTGATAACTACGAACTAAGAGTTTGGCCATACTGTTCTTCTCTTACTTTAAGTAGTTCGTAGCTATTCAATGTTCACGTTGGTTCAGTTAGGCTTTCTGCACTGACTGTACCAACGTATCCTATTGTTTCTGTTTTCGTTTTTGTTTTCCCTTTTTTTTTTTAATAATCTCAGTGGTAAGAATTCTGTGGGATTCGCCATCCGGTGCGATGGCTTCATTGAGCACCCATGGCCTGATACTATTTTGGTGGATGAACCTGCCAAGAAGGCCCTGGTCGTTGTCATTACTGTACCTGGTGATCCACATGTTGCTGAAAA